ATTACTAACCTTAAAGCATGCAAAATAATTTCAAAGTATTTCTATTAATTTTAGTTCTTTCACATGTTGTTTTTGCTGATGGGTTGGCCTAGGACAAAAAATGCCAGAAGGCTTTGTTGTCTGTTTTTTGAGGAGGTATGGAAAACAAGAATCTTGGGCTCAGTAAAAGAGCCAAAGCTTCATGTATTTGTGTGTATACCCAGTCTTACTAAAGTCTTTAATTATTCTTCTAGGTTCTTCAAATGTGTGTAAGAAAATTAATTCTGATAGCTTTTTTTCTTCCCTTTTCAACATTTCTAGGGAAAGGTAAAGGTCAAAATCCTCTACCTCATCATGAAAGTATAGCTCATTGAAGTATAAAGTATGTTCTCTGCAAATGTGTTTTGCTGTAGAGAAAATATTTAAATCAATGTTTGAGCTTTATCTTGAAGTTTTTACCCTCTGGAACAGTCATCTTCTGTTCCACTGTATATAAAGTAAGAACATCTTGGAAAAGAAAAAAAATGGGAGGAGATTTTGATCAGAGTCCTATTTAATCTGGCTTCATTGAGGTGTAATTGATCATAATATTATATATAATATTGTACATGTATGTGTACTTACATATATATGTATAGTGTAAAACATGTTTTATTTATTTACTTAGTTATAGTTTTTTGAGGCAGTGTCTTGTGATGTATTTCAGGCAGGCCTTGAACTCACTGTGTAGCCCAGATTGGCCTCGAACTCATAGCAATCCTCCTGCTTCAGCCTCCCAGATTCTGGGATTGTAGGTGTGCACCCCCATGCCTGATGAAGCATGATGTTTTCAATTGTGAAATGATGAGCACAATAAGATAATTAACATGCTATTGATATTCCATGGAGTTGTTTTGAAGGGGGGTGGTGAGAACATTTTTTTTTACCGGTACCGGGGATTGAACTCATGACTGCCTGCTTGCAGGCAGGCGCTTGGCGCTTATGCTGCTGAGCTAAATCCCCAGCCCCCTCTTTTTTTTTTTTAATTAGAGAACATTTAAGTTATTCCCACTTGACAGTTTTCAAGGGTACAGTATATTAGCTACATTTTCTCCATCTGTTCATCCATCAATGGACACTTAGGTTGATTATGTATATTGTCTTTTGAGAATAATGCTGTTGTGAATATGAGAGTACAGACTGCTCTTTGCATGCTGATTTCATTTTCTTTGGGCATCAGCCCTGAAGTGAGATTGCTGGATCAAACAATTGTTCTGTTTTTAATTTTTTGAGAACTTCCATTTTATAGTCCATAGTACCTCCACTAATATTCTCACTAAAACTGTACTGTCATCCCTTTATTTCTCCATCTTCTTCATCACGTAGCTTTTCCCCTGTGGATAGCTGTCATCCTTTGTGAGGTTATAACTCATGTTTTGCTTTGCAGCTGTCTGGTGATTAGAGATGCTGAACACCTTTCACACACCTGTTGACTTTCTGAATTTCTCCTTTTAAGAATTACCTATTTATGTCATTTATCCATTTTCATTTGGGTTATTTGTATTTTTGACATGGAGTGAATCAGTCATATGTTTTAGATATTAATTTTTATCTGGGGTACAGTTTGTAATATATTTTCTTATTCCATAAGTTATTTTGTTGAGTATTTTGTTTACTGTGCATAATTAGTCTATTTTTGCTTTGGTTACCTGCAATTTTAGTGTCATTGCCCAGACTAGTATCACACTTTCTCTCTGTTCTTTCTTGGAGTAGTTTACAGTTTCACATCTTATATTTAAGTCTTTATATCCGTGTTGGGTTGATTTTATATATAGTGTAAGATAAAGGTCTGTTTTTTTCTCCTACATGTCAGGGTTACCAGATGTGTTTATTGAAGAGACTATCTTTTCTTATTGTGTATTTCTGGCAACTCTGTCAAAGATCAGTTGATATTGAATTAATGGGATTATTTCTAGAATCTCTGTTGTGCTCCATTAGTCTATGTGTTTTTACTCTGGGATCATGGTATAGTATAGCTTTGTGGTATATTTTGAAGTGAAGTATGTAATGCCTCAGCTTTTTTTTTTTTTTTTTGCTCATGATTGCTATGGTTATTCAGAGTCTTTTGTGATTTCAGGAGAACTTTAGGATTCTTTTTAAATTTCTTTGAAACATGCCATTTTAATTTTGATAGAGATTGTTTATCCTGGGTCACTTGTTAGAAATGAGACAATTCATGAGCATAAGATATACTTCAATTTATTTATGTCTTGTTTCTTTCATTGATGTTTTATAGTTTTCAATGTATAGATCTTACTGCCTTGATCAAATTTATTCTTTGATATTTAATGCTATTATAAATAAGATAATTTTCTTCTTTTTTGAGTAGTTCATTATTACTAGGTAGAAATGCTACTAAATTTTGTAGTTTGATTTCTATGTTCTGCTCATCTATGGAAAAGTTTTAATAGTTTATTACAATTATTAGTTCTGATAGTTTTTAAGGTTTTCTATGTATAGACTATGCCATATGCAAAAAGAATTAAGTTTTTATGCTTTTCAGTTTAGATGCCTTTTATTTATTTTCCTTACCTAGTTATTCTGGATAATACTTTAGTATATGTGTAATAGAAATAATAGCAAATGCAATGGGTTGTATGCTAGTGGTAATTCTTAAAGCAAGACCTCGCCCCATAAAGAAGGCAAGGGCCTTGTTTAGTCAGGAGTTGTGAGAACAATTACAATCAGGACACAGAATATTCAGCCAAAGGCCTGGATCCCACAGCAATGTCCTCCATGAATCCAGATGACAACCTAGAGCCCATGACAATGCCTCCCACGAGTCCAGCTGAGGTCTAGAGCCCATGAGAAGCACTCACACCAGTCTATTTTATGGATCTGCGCTGGGAAGGTTCAAAGGTCAGCGGTGGAAGCCAGAGAGTATGCTGACAGGGTGAAGGAGCTGTGCTGATAGGTTGGGGGTTCTACATTGGAGCTGAGAAGTCATTTATATGTCCTTATTAGACCAGGGATGTCCTGAAAAGCACTATAGCCATCCTCGGCGACATGGAGGTCCCAAGCTCCTCTGACATAAGAACAGTTGAGTACATGCCAGAAAGCCAGTGTGATGAGTTTCTCCTGGAGATTAAACGGTACACATCTTCCCCTGCGGAGCCAGAAAGTGATGCTCGATTTAAGGAGTAAAGCTCCCCCAAAGTGAACCACAGCCACTCTTACCAACAAGGTCTCCACAGTGGTTGACTTCACTCTGGGAAGACTAGTCATGATGAGCTCATCCAGGAGAACTGCTCAAAACAGCAACACTTAGAGAAACCATGCCTCACTCGTCTTCTCCATGTCTCTATATACGCTGACAACCTTCCTCAGGTGGAACATCCACACTCAGCACCATGCTGATTTAATTCAGCTGGTGTTAGGTTGACCACCAGTTTTTAATCCATAACAGGGTTTTATTGGGGAATCGTACGCATATCAGTATAGGAAAGGCTTACCATCACATGTAGCAGCAGCACATTCTTGAGCATACACAATTCTACAGTTGAGGCATACCCTTTCATACCTTGGATGTTTTAAAAATGGCCAACAGGATACCTCTTGGGCCGACAATTTAGTATTATGTTAAAATTGTAAATTTACCGAGGAACTGGGTGATGTAAAAAGACTCCTGGTGTTTTCCTCTGGAGGGACTTCTCCAAAACAAAATACCACCACTGAAAGACAGTGGACATTACTCGTAATTTAAGAGGGCAGCAGCTTTCCCCCATGTCATTGTAGGAACTTGCTGCTAAAAGTGGCGGCCTAGAAGCTAATAGAGTAATGAGAGTAGGCATCCTTGTCTTATTCTTGATCTTAGAGCTAAAACTTTTAGCTTCCTGTGTAGAAGGTGGTGTTAGCTGCGACCTTGTTATATATGGTCTTTATATATGGTGTTGAGGGATATTCCTTTTGTGCTGAATTTATCGAGAACTTTTATTATGAAAGAATGTTGCAGTTTGTCAAATGCTGTTTTACTTCTGGTAAGCTCATTGTATAATTTTTATCTTTCGTTTTGTTAATATAGTATATCCTACTTATTGATGTGTCAGTGTTAACATCCTTGTATCCCATAGACAAATCCCACTCTTATCATGGTTGTGATTTTTTAATATATCCTGTTGAATCTGATTTGATAGGATTTTGTCGAGGATTTTACATGTGTGATCATCAGGGGTATGGGCTTACCATTTTGTTTCCGTGTAGTGCCCTTGTCTGATCTGGGAAAATGAGTTTAGAAGTACTCCTTTCTTTTCAATTTTTTTGGAGAGGGATTGAGAAGATTTTCATCAAATTTTCTTTTTTTCCTTTTTGTTTTGTTTTTAGCAGTTTGTTAGACTTTACTAGTGAAACCATTAAAACTGTCTTTAAAGTTTTATCCTGGGGATGATAATAAAACATGATCATTCTTATATTCCACTGAGAAAAAAGACATTTTATAAAAGCATTTTTCAGCCTAAGAACTGTTAAAATTTTGGAATTCCTACATATTGAAATTATTTAATCTATTCCGGAGGTCTAAACACAAGATAAGTGGTCAAGATTGGTATATGTTTGGTTTTGACTTGATCATAGTGAGATTGAGTTGCTAGATACTAAAATTTGTTTCCAAAGCTAAGGAAAAAAAACTATGGCTCACTAAAAGAATTGTCTGCTTTACAAAGTGGAATTTTGTTCAGTTTTATGGTATTTTGAAGAAACTGAAAACATAACTTTGTATATTTACACATGTACTTAATGAGAGGTGAATATTGGTAACCTGAATTTAGTCCTCAAATCATGAGAAAATTGTAAGTATGTTAAATGACAAAACTTAGGAATTTTACTGTGAAAAGGCAGAATTGGCATTACTGTGTTAGAAAAATGAAAGCATTTTGTAAAATTAAGAGCTCTAATATTTGGAAATATGTACTATCTACATTTATTTGAGTTTTATCTGCCACTTTTCAGATTGTCAATATTTTAATATGTTTTTTCTGTGTTCTTAGTTACTGATAAACATCAATTTAAGCCAGAGCAAATGTTATATAGATTCCGCTATGATGATGGTACCTTTTACCCAAGAAATGAGATGCAGGATGTGATTTCAAAGGTAATGGCTTCTCTTAGCATTTCTTCAAAATTCATGTTGTCATACTTGAGAAGGATAAATAGGTATAGTGGGATTAAAAAAATTGTCATAGTATAGAAAATTCTTAAATTACATATACAAGCAAGCCTCTTCCATTTTTTCTTTTGGTATTTCAACAACTTCAATATTGAATCATTTCATCATTGTCTTAACAAGTTCTAAATGGAAATCAAACTATTTCTTACCTCAACAGGAGATTATATTCACTGAAAACTTTCACATATAGCAACATACAATCACAATTGAATAAAATTTATTTTATTTCAGGGATCAAACTCACGACCTGCTTGCCAGGCAGGTGCTTATGCCACTGAGCTAAATCTCTGGCCAATCGAATAAAAATTTAAAATACAAAATAGAAATACAATATCAAATGTGAATGTGCACTTGAGAAAATGTATATTGACATAATGAACACATATCCTAGAGTTGTTGCTATATAGATGTTCTTTTGCTTTCATTATGTCTTGAAATTTTATATTTTAAGTAATTTAGAAAATTCATTATTTGTCATACGTATATGACAAATTCATTGCAAAATTTAATATTTAAAAAAAGAATTTTATTCTTGATTTCTATAATGTTTTATAACATTTGAGTAACTTTTAAATTATTTAAGACTATGTAATGACTCCAGGATATTGCAAGTAGATTCATTTATTATTTCAAAATTTTGTTGACATTTGGTGTTTTTACCTGTTTTTGATACATCTTTATTTTACAGGGTGTAAGATTATATTGTCGCCTTCATAGTCTGTTTACTCCAGTAGTAAGGTGAGTCTGGTTTCTAAATTCCAGGAATTTCAAATGGAAATATTTGTTTTACATATTAGAAATTGATTTATCTTTGAAAGTAAACCTTTTACTTTCAAATATTATATGTATATATATTAATTAATATATTATTTTGTTATTCATTCACAGTCATTTAAGGACTTGAGAGTGAAATAATCCATATTCAGTCAAATAGTTTAGTTGACCAAGAAAAATTTGAAAATACTGTTTACTCCCATTCTTTATCATTAAGAAACCTTGTATTAACCTTTTATTAGGTTTTTTTAGATATATACTTTTGCAGTATTTCCTTCTAGGAGTATTTATGTAGAGAAAATATATTGTAATTGAAAATTAAGAGATTAATTTAGTTATTAAATATGATTTATAGGGGCTGGGGATTTAGCTCAGTGGCATAAGTGCCTGCCTTGCAAGCAGGCAGTTGTGAGTTCGATCCTCGGTACTGATAAAAATGAAAAAGACCCCCCCCCCCAAAAAAAAGAAAAAAAATATGATTTATATTCTGTATATTTTTTTTCTTATGAAGAGAAATGACTTTTTAAAACAATAAAGATCAATTTTTAATTTATATTTTTAGACAAAAGAAGATTTTTGAGTTTTATATTATGATTACCAATAGAGAAAATTGTTAGGAATATAATTTTGTAATACATACAGATACACTAACATTAATTGGTAAAGGTTAAATTTATTTCAGATAAGCAGATATTCTTAGAATCTTATTTGTAAGCTAATTATATTGTCAGAACAAAATTACATTATCATTTCTGAAATGAAGAAACAAGTCTTTTCAGGATTGGTTATGAAAGCTAAATGTTTGACGTGTGCAGTGTCTCTGTTTTTCATTTTGGTTTTCAAGTCCAAGGAAATGCTGAATTTAGAAGGGAGAGTAACAGAGATTCAGAAGTTGCTAAGCATTTTGGTATCCACCGTCACTCTGCATGAACACATTGTGTGCAGGTCCTGGAGGAGAACATAGAATCCTACCCATTACTCTTGAAATGTCTAATTTTATAAGTAGGCTTCCCAAAGTAGAAATGTGTGGAAAAAGTGAATATTTATAATGTTATCCCATTCTCTTAGAGAAGAGATCACCTTCAAATATTTTGAATAATTTAATACAAATAATAGCAATACTTTGTAACAATTTAAAAATAATACTAATAGCAACTGAGTATTTTTTCTGCTAAGTGAATATAAAACAGTAATTTATTTACTGTTTAGTTAACATTTGCTCTCCAAGTCAACTGTATATATGTAGATTGTTTTTATATGTAAACATGTGCTCTGAAAATATGTTTTATCCTCACAGAATTTCTTACCAAAAGTTAGATTCTCAAAGAGCTGAGAAGAAGGAATTGTCCTTTGGCTAGAAATGCAATTGTTTACAAGTTGTCAAGGGAATAATTAAGGGAAAAAAAACCTGTAAAACAGATGGGATATATGATAGTCATGCCTTTAGTAGGGGTGACCTCAACTTATACGAAAAAAAAAAAAAAAACAAAAACCTTATGTGGTGTGAAGAGCCTCAGGTGCACACATGATCTGTAATAGACTACCCTCTTCTTTCTTAATGATGCTTATGAAAACTAATATGAAATGGGTGATAACATATCAGAAACATGGAAATAGATTTAAAGGACAAAAAAATCTATCACTGATTATTGGCTAAGATTATTCACTTATTGAAATCTCATAAATTTCAACCATACTTTAAGATTTTTTATTCAAGTGAATAAAAGGATGTAAATATTAATGTTACATTACTGACAAGGGATAACAGACAAGAGATGTCTGCTACTAATTGCTAATCACTTCAAGTATTTTACATCTTGTGTAGTTTGACATTTTCAAATGACCATGATTTTCTCATTCCCTTTTGATCCATGCCTAGAAAATGGATGCATTATAGATTTCTTCCCTTAGGCCCAGAACTGGTTGTGAGACTTTGTTGGTATCTAACTGTACTTTGAATGATTTCTCAGTTCTGGGAAGTCTGATGCACAGGGAGTTTGACATGGAGAGCCAGTCCCCTGGGGATGTAGTTTCATTATGTCCTTGATCTCATCATGCAAAATGAATGACAAGCTTCCAGGGTGTCTATTTCATGACAAGCTTGCAGTTTCCCATGACAGAAGCAGAATACTCCTGTGACAGCTGTGTGAATACTCTAGTGCAACTTCTTCCTTTCTGGAGAATGTAGAAGCAGAAATAGGGCATTGCTTTATCCTCCACATTTTTAGAGGATTTATAGCACAATCTTCCACAATTCAGGGGATAAAACTGTTTTATTATTTTTTCATAATATATTATATTTATATTTAAATTATTTCCAAATATTCCAGTAAATATTCATGTATCTGTTTGTATACAGGAAACTGAAAGACATGTCCTGTTTTAGTGTGGTTGCATGTCTTCATCTTGTTTGAACTGATGGTAATATATTTTAGGTGTGCATGAGTCACAAACCACACTATTTGCACACAACCCAGGCAGTTAGTCAACTTTTCTGTTGTTAATTGGGATTCAAATATTTTCTTGTGTTCACATATCCTATGTATAACATTTTTTATTTCCTTTTCTTTTATAGGGATAAAGATTACCATTTAAGGACCTACAAATCTGTGGTCATGGCCAACAAATTGATAGACTGGTTAATTGCACAGGTAAATAGAAAAGTTGCTAATTGTATTTACTACTGCTTTGAACTTTGAGTATGTTCATGTGATTTAGGCTTTCCCTCTTTAACATTTTAAGGATGAAACAGAGTGAAGTAATTTGCCTGGGTTCGTATAAATTTAGGATTGAATTTAGAATGTCTTAATTTCACAGTCCTAAAACTAACTTTTTATATTCTGTCTTTAAAAAGTGGGATGTACTTATTTGTAAAATAACAACTGATATTTACCAAAAAACATTAAGCGTAATTCGACTGTCACTGAATAGTTATTCTTTTCAGATACTAAATTTATTTCATTTACTTTGTTTCAAAATATGTTTATTAGTTCTCACAAAATTAAAATTTTTCCTGTGCCTTTGTCCGTGTTAGAAAGCAATTGTGCTTTGATAATATGAGCTTTAATATTTACTTTAAGTGGGGTAGTATGGATTTCATTATTGCTATTGTTGCTGTCCTTCGAGCATGGATGCTGACAACTGGTATTGAGAAAATATAATTTCTTTATAAGTAAAACAAATTAAGGTATATAGTTCATCATAGTAGCTACCCAAATAGAAATTTCCTGAGATACTTTTCTTCTACTAGGTCAACTAATAAATGAATTACTACATTCCTTTGATTAAAAAAAAAGCTAAAGACTGATACTCACTTTAACTAAACATACTATTTGGGAGATAGGATATTGCTTGGTTGAGATGTGAGACATTACACTTGGATATTTAATTGGTTTCTTAAGCAGTTTTACTCCTGTTTTTAAACATGTACATTGTACTTGGTTGTAAATACACAGTAGCTGTTGCTTTTTCATCATAAAATATTTTAATTATTAATATTTAAATACTGCTGGGTTTGAAACATACAGTTTCAAGTTTTTGTTTTTTAGTATTGATTTATAGAATGCTTCAAGACCTTTTATTTTTGTATTTTGTGAAACCTAAATTTTTACACTCAGAAGTTACTGATTTAAATGAAACCCAATAGTTACTTTGAGGTAAAACCCTAATTCATGTACTCAGTAGCTTTACTAATACAAGAACCTTTTGTAATACTGTGGTCATCACATGTCACTGAAATCAGTTCTGTATTCAGTACCAGAGTTGATGTTTGACAGTTATTGTGCTAATGTAGAACTGTATTGTACATCACATAATTATGTTAGAAAATTCGAAAAAGTTTATTTGCAGCAAAAACTAGTGCTGAATAAACATTTAAATTCTAACTGTGGAACTCAGTAATTTTCTTTAGTATTTTTGTTTTCCAAGTAGAAGAATTGAGAAAGTTGCACAAAATCTAGTCTAAGTTGAAACTTTTTCTTCCTGTTTTCTTACTGGTCCATTATGGCAATTCCTGTAAAAATTGTATGTGGTAGTTATTGCACTTGACTGAGCTTCCAGTTAACTAGTATCAGCTGCCAGCTCTGCTAATAACTAGTTATGCAAACTTAGGCAAGTCATGCACTTCTCTTCAATTGTAGTTTTAATAGCTGTTGGCTACTTACTGGAATAGCTGTACGAGCCATCTTTTATTGATTGCTGAAACTTTATGGCTGTCAAATTATAAAATATATCCAGATTAAGTGTCAAACATACTCAACTTTTACTGCTTACTTTCAAATTAGAACAGCATGGGTTGTCTTGGAAGAGGAAGATATGGCAATGGAATGATAAAATAACAAATTTAAAGGGCTTAATCTAATATAAAGAGGCTTTCTTTCCTCCAAGAATCTCAAATGATAACTTAATTGTCAATTTTAATTAGTATTGACTCAATTATTTTGATAGATTTATAGGACAAGAATAAAGATCAGGTTCCAGTCTAATAGTCTATATTGTTGTTTTGGGGTACAGTTTGGATCCTGTAGTTTTCTAAGTATATATGAGATGATAGCACCTTGAAAAATGCAATGATATATTTTCTTCATTATGCATTTTTGACTTGTTCTTGTGCTACTTCTACTACAATGATTTATAATAAAATAATGTGTTCGATGGGTTAATTTTTTCTTGGATAAGTGCAGTTATCCTTGTAAATATCATTTGTGTAAATAGCGATTTGTAGATACAGCACTTGTACTTTTTAATTTGGTGATGTCTTGCTTCATTCCACCAAACCTATTTTTGTTGAACCTTTTTTTTTTTTTCTAATTCCCATCCAAGCTGGGTGGCACCAATAAGAATTTAAAATACACAAAGGTAACAGAATATTTTAAATCATAGTTTTTACATGTTTTTATAATGCTAATATTTAGAGTGTAACATTTAATCACTCAACGAATGCAATCAAATGTCAATAAGTACTGAGCAAGCTCTTACTGTAAGCTTAACGTTTAAATGCTTTGATGGTTAAAATAAAACAAAGCAATCAAACATAAAGCAGGAATGGTTTCTGTCTTCAAGGGGCTGTTGGTCAGTTGGCCTAGTTTTTTATACTTCCTGCCAAGTCCTGCTTACACATCGTCTCCCCAGGAAGCCTTACACGCTTCACAATCCTAGGTTCAGGTCTTCCTTCTCTCATTATATTTGTCTGGTTGGGAGTATTGAGTAAAATATTAATGATACTATGTACCATGTTTTATGTGACCAAAATCCTTTACTAGATTCAAATTAATAGGAAATCAGAAAATTTTTTAAGTTTTAATGTTCCAATGTTTGATCTGTAGCACTTAGCACAATGTGTAGAAAATAGAAATATTTTTGAATGAATACATCAAAATAAAATACTGCTGGATATTTGAAGAGGGTATGATGCCTAGTCTGAAGTTGCAGTTTATAAGGGTTTGGGGAGTTATTAGGGTTGTGGTTTTCACAGTGTGAACTGGAATTTATCTTGATGGTTTGTAGACAGATAGGTAGAATTTAGATACATGGCGGGTTAAAGAGACCAGCATTGTACGAATGAAAATTACCTGAGTGACCATGGTGACAATGGCATTGTTCAAGCAAGTGGTGACTGTTGACTAGAGCAAAAGGTGTTAAGTTTTAAGGTTAGAAAATAAAGATAGAGAGGGAGGATAAAAAAGGATAAGGATGGTCTTGCAAGACCAACAGAATATTTTGAGATACTGTGACTACTTTAAATATAAGATCTTTTTAAAGTTTTTGAAGATGGAATTTCTATGTTAAAAACTTTGATTCTATAATTCATATACTAGGGAGAGTACAGGAAAAATATGGTAATTTAGACAAGGAATTAAAAATGGTTTAGAGCAATGACAGTAGAGTATATCTAAATATTAAAAAATAGGACTAGGGAATAAAGTTGGTGTTTTCTAGATGAAAACCTTTCAGAAGAGCTGCTTTGAGCTATTGTGTTAGATTCAGTTGCACAGTCTGCTTATTTTTTTTAAACAAGATAATGAAAGAGAAGCTTGCATTTGCTGCTTCGTGCATTTTGCTGTTCAGCCAAATAATTTAATGCTAAGGTTTTACAAGTCACTGTAGATTAATAGGTTGCTCTAGGGACCTCTCAGGACAAGAACAGTTAGTGGAGAGGAGGATTAAGTGGCCAAGATCAGACACTATGATTTTTACTTACCTTAATTCACTGTATGATCAATTTACAGGCTATTTTCCTGTTGTATAATTGGAATATAAACCTAAGAGATGACAAGAAGGCTAATTTATAATAGCAAGTATATTTTTGCAACTGGGCATGGTGGCCCAGGCCTATAATCCCAGCACTTGGGAGGTTGAAGAAGGATTGCTGAGTTCAAGGCCAGCCTAGGCTACAATGTGACTTCAAGGCCAGCCTGAACTCTGGAGTGAGACTCTATTTCAGAAATACCAAAAAGTATTTTTAGTTGTACATTTTCATATTTAATAAAATGTTTTTCTCAAGAAATATTATTTTTCAGGTGATATTTTCATACTAAATGGATGTTTTCCTTAGTGAATGTAATTCATTTCATGAATTAGAAGCTTCCTGTCTTATGTAACAGTTGATGCTGGTATATAAGAATATGGCTTTTGTTTAAATATAGTGTTGATAAAGTCAAATATATTAAAGATGCAGTGAGCAGAGGCAGTGATGCACGCCAGTTGTCTGGCACTCTGGGAGGCTGAGACCGAAGGATCACAAGTTCAAGCTCAGACTGTGCAACTTAGTGACTCACTGAGACCCTATCTCAAAAAACAAACAAACTGAAAGCATCTGGCATATAGCTTGGTGTTAAGGTCCTAAGTTCAATCCTCAGTACCAAAAAACAAACATCAAAAAAAACCCCAAACACACCGAGACTATGAGACTATGTTATTGTGTGATATGGATACTAGAATCACAATATATTTCTTCAACATTATGTTGATTTAGTAAACCATAATAAATTCTCCTTGGAGTATTATATAAATAATACATGATTTCTTTAAGATGTAAAAAAAAAAAAAAAAAAAAAAAATTCAAGGTGCAGCAGCCTTCTGTCTGCGGTAAACTGACGTGGTGCTTTTCTGGTTAACAGGGGGATTGCCGCACCAGAGAAGAGGCAATGATATTTGGCATGGGGCTGTGTGACAGTGGATTTATGCACCATGGTAGGGATTGATGCGTTTCATTGTTCTGGTTCTTCTTAGGATTTGCTAATGTCTTGGTTCTCCTGGGAAGTCCAGAGGAGCCAGCAAGCCTGTGTAGGTCTTGTCATTGGACCTTATTAATTACCTGCTATTGATTTTATTGCAGCTTTATTATTTACCCATTGCTCAACCTGTCTCTTTTATGCTGATTTCAGAAGAGAAACACCTTGAACTAAAGTTTTGTTTTGTAAAAGTTCATGTACCTCTTTGAATTGATTTGAGATTGCATTCATGGTTTGCAGAATGACAGTATGTGGTAGAATGATTAAATGAGAATGTATGTGGCTCAATTCTGTTTTTTTAGGGAAATGTTTTATCTTAGAAAATCGAACTATAGACTGGAGAAATATTTTTTTAGCCAATGGAAATCATTTCTTTCTTTTATTTGATGACTTTGAATAAGTCATCAAGCAAGAGTTTTCCATTTGTTTTGTTTTGTTTTTGCAGTACAATTCTTGGATTTATGAAAGTAACAAGATGTGGTTTTTCCTTTCTATTCATAGTCCATAAGCTAAAACCGTTCTTTTTGCAACTGTTAGATGGTCCTAGTATCCAATTGTCAGTTACTTTCAGAAGATATCTTTATTTTGAAAGATAGGAGAGCAAAAGCTACAGTAGTTTGAAAGCATCTTTGGCTGTTATGTATATTTCTTGGGGAATTTCATACCATCTCACTCTGTCTAGGCTGCTGTGTGATAAGAAAATACCCAGCCCTGAAGACCGAGCTATTGAATGGAAGAAACAGAAGCATTTTAGGATCTTAAAACTAATTCAAGCTAAAAACCCTCAAAAGCTTCAGTTATTTTTCTCTCTAACATATAGCATCAATGAATAATAATTTTATCTAAGTGTTTATTATGAAAAATTGAGTAACAGTAAAAATTATTTCTGCAAAGTCTATTGGTAAAAGTGCAACCCATTAGTTCCTGCCTGGCTTCATCGATGTCCTCTCCTGCCCTTTTGATGGATTATTTGGAGGAGAAAAACAGCTGTAGCACAAACATCTTGTGAGCTTAGGAAACTGCTTAGATCTTTTATGTAAGACAGCTCAAACCAAAGCGTATTCTCATTTTTTTAGACTTGTCAGTCATGGCTTATGTTTCCTTTTCCTTTGAGATTGATAGTTTTATTGGGTAACTCATGTTGCCAGCCCGACCATCTATCTGGTCTGGACCATCTATCTTGTGGGAATTCTGTAAATGTAATAAAATGTAATAAAATAGCTATTTTTATTAGTTACTATATTCAAGTTATTTACATGTCATACCTCATTTTTGTTTAATGCAGCTTTATGAAGGTTTTTTTTACCTTCATTTTATAGATGAGAAACTAAAGTTTAGATAATTTCCTCACCCAAAAATCAGTCCCAGACCTGACTCCTTCTTCTCTGCCCTGGAATCACTGCTTTCCTTGTAGCTCTTGGCTGCATGAGTCAACATATCCCAACAAGTGCTCATTAAGGTTCTGAGGACGTGGGAATTAGAAATGGAGAAGATTCCCCTTGTAAAGCATTTTGACAGCTGCCAAGATCTCACTCAACATAAATTCTTCCTATTGGTATTTAACCTTAGTGTGCACCAGACAAATAACGCATAAGCCTTTGGTCATCAGTGCATGTCAGGAATCTTAAGGAATTTGAAGAAAAATACTAGATAACATTGTTTAAGAATATTGTGTTTAAGCAGAAAAGAAGTAGGAGTTCGCGGAAACTGAAGGTCACGTTTCACCCAGAGGACGTCTCTGGTTTGATATTAGAGCCAAAGTGATCCCAATGGGAATTGTTCACATATTCTAGAAGGATTACATTTAACCTATTTTAATTTTCCTATAATTGTGTAGGTATTAAAAATGAGGCTAAAATTTTCACTGCAAGTTGAAAACATGATAGGGTTTTATGTTAGGATTGCATGCACTTTAGAATATATCGTAATTATTTACTTAAATTTGGATTTTAATCTGGACAAAGGGAGAATTGCTTAAGAACAGAATAGTTATCACTAGAGAATATTATTTATTTCAAAACCCCAAAATAGGGCTAGGGATTTAGCTCAGTGCCACAGGCGCCTGCCTGCCAAGCGCAAGGTAATGGGTTTGATCCTCGATACCAAAATAAACAAATAAATTTGCACAATCCTTTAAGTAACAATCTTTTAAAGGAATTACTGTCTTGCCCTTAAAGAAACTGATAGAAGTTGTGACTGATGTATCCCAAGAGTACAAAGTCAAGATTATGGCCAGCTGTTTATATCTATTGGCATGGAAAAATGAGTTTGATTTTCAATTCAACTGAAACCAGTTGAATCTCTTTGTTTTTGTAGTCCTTGAAAAAAGTGAATTCAAAGATGAACCCCTACTTTTCCGTTTTTTTGCGGATGAGGAAATGGAAGGGTCAAATATGAAGCATCGACTCATGAAACATGATTTAAAAGTTGTGGAAAATGTTATAGCTAAATCTCTCCTGGTAAGTTTGTTAATTTATTATAGAAGTTTTCTTCTTAATTAGAAATGAACAGGAGACTGTGTATTTGATGGTGATGAATATACTTCATTCTATTTGTAAGTTTTCTGTAGTTGGTTTGTCAGTAATGTTAATGTTTTTCTTTTCAGATTAAATCTAATGAAGGCAGCTATGGCTTTGGACTAGAAGACAAAAATAAAGTCCCAATAATAAAGTTGGTAGAAAGGGGGTCTAATGCTGAGGTAATGCAAATTAGTTTTTACTCAAATTTGTTGTCATGATATACAAATATAAAAGTTATAAAAAAAATCTGAAGTCAGCCACTGAATATCTTTATTTAAGACAGTTCCTCTGGATAATTTTACTCTGCAGTTTGTGGCAACTACTGCTTTGTTGGGAGATCAGGGGTAAGTGAGGAGAAGGTGGCAGTCAGAGCTCTACAGCTGTGAACCTTTTGACCTGTTGGGAATCTAAGTAGCTCAGTCTTTGTTCCTTTGATTCCTTGGGCACAGATCCCAACTGGAACCCTGTGGGGGTGCTGGGGATGTGACCGGCTGTGCTGTGTATGTCATATGGCTCTTCTGTTCAGTCAAGGTCTCTTGTCTTCTATTTTCCTAGTGCCTTTGTCTTTCCTGTGACTGTAACTTCCATTAGTAAAGCACATACTTTGATTTATATTCTCATTGGATTATTGCTGATTGACATAGTCTCACTTCACTGGACTTTTAAACAGAAATATCTCCTGATCATTCACTCATTTATTCAAAATCTTCATTTAATAGCTATTTTATACCAAGCAGCGTTCTAGGTTCTCAGAACACAGCAACAAGCAAAATACACAAAATTCTCTAATCTAGTAGAGACTATTTTTCAGTGTTGTAGCCAAGTATAACAGGTCTAAAATATCATTGTCTTGCTTTCTGACTTGCAGAATAGGTTACTCTCAGCCACACAGCTTGGTATTCAGATCTTTAATAAAAAATGGGAGAAGTTTGAATCTATTTAGAGTTCATGGTAAATTGTCACTCATCCTCCTATTAATGCCCAAGGTTTCTGTCTTTTACTAAGACACACATTTATGCAAGACAAAGCTTTAAAAGTACACTCAATTCAAACAAAATAATTCTGCTTGACTCATATTCTGTTGTTGGACCTGGTCAATAAATGACCATACATAGGTAGTAATTTTCTATAAGAAGGAGATGTTTCTTCCAGAAATTTTCAGAAGATCCTCTTAGAGCACCTCTTTAGGCTGCTATGAGACTGATAAAGTGTCTCCTACCAGTGTTCATCATTTAGCTAGCAGCCAAAAGAGCAGAGAGTTTGTAGGAAATAAGGCTGGTTAAAAAATGTCTGAGCTGGATGCAGTGGTGCATGCCTGTAATCCTAGCACTAAGGGAGACTGCAGCAGGAGAATCACAGATGTGAGTCCTATAAGACACCTTAGTGAGACCTTGTCTCAAAATAAAAAAAATAAAAAGAGCTGGGTTTGTAGCTCAGTGTAGAGTGCTCCTTGGTTGGATCCTCAGTACTTAGAAAAAAAGAGTCCAGAGTTGGGCATGGTGGTGCACACCTGCAGTCGCTGAAGTCTAGGAGCCTAGGCAGGTTAGTAACCTAGCTAGACCCTGTCTCAAAACAAAGGAGTAGAGAGGCCCTGCATTCACTTTCTGTTAACCAAGGAGGAAAATATTCATGAGTATCTTTATGAGGTGTGATAAAAAAAAGGTGAATGCCTCTGCCGAGTGACAGCCAATAGGAAGGCATGCTTGTTAAAAAAAAGGCAGGCTTGTGTTAGGTCATTCACTGGATGGATCTGGCACCATATGACTTCTGGCTCTTTCTCAGAGTCAAAATGACGATGAAAAATGAATATTTTGAAGTGACTCAGGACATTGAGGCTGCCGTGATGGTGCAATTAAAGTCACTCATGAAACAGAACTGCTTCAGAAAGTGCCAAGAAAGTGGAGTAACTTTGAAATGAAGGGGAGTATTTTGAAGAGGATTAAAGGCAGTGCATCTTTTACTGTAATAAATATTTTAAAATGTAAATGTTCACTGAATATTTTGATTACATCTCATGTATATGCGGGGATTAAAAGGCACAACAGAAAAAAATTAAAGGAAGAATACAATGTCTAGTCAAAGAGAAAGGGGGAATTTCATTAAAGCCGTGTAATCAAATCTGAACCTAGGCCAAAGAAAATAAGAACTGCATTATTTCTTTCATAGTTCTGTTGTGTGGATTTATATAAAATCGTGGCAGTTATGTTTGAAATGTCAAAAAAAGAAAAAAAATCTATAAGCTCTAAACCTTTTGAGATTCTAATTTTGTGAAAAACTTAGATTCTTTATTAAATTATCATTTGAATAATTTTTCCATTTCTTTCTTAGATGGCTGGCATGGAAGTTGGGAAAAAGATTTTTGCCATTAATGGTGACTTAGTTTTTATGAGACCTTTCAATGAAGTGGATTGCTTCCTAAAATCATGTTTAAACAGCAGAAAGCCTCTAAGAGTTCTTGTGAGCACAAAACCAAGGGAGTAAGTTGTATGCCTTTTATGGGATTTAAAAAAAATACACATGGATTAATGAAATAAGAAAGTTAAGAAACATTGAAACTGCACTGGCATCAAAAATACTGGTATTTAGATGATAGCAGAAACTCCATTGTTATAGTGATAACGTGTTTGCTGCTTGAATCCCATTATTTCAGTAGAAGTAATGGCTTTCTTTGGTGCCCAAATATTCCTATTCTGTGTTGGGTTTGACCATGAGTGAGAAAATTAGTAGAAACTTCAGAATAAAGAACTACACACTGAGCTATAAGAATTTCCGATACTATTGGAAAGAATTTATAGTTGGCATTAAACCTGAAAAACACTTCTTACTTGTGTGTCCTTGATGACATGATCATGCCTTTACAACTTTTTTCAATCTCTCTATAATGTGTCTACCTGTGATTAGAAAAGTTTTTGTCTTCACTATAGAATATTCGAAATGTACAAAAGAATGCATTGTTATTATAATCTTATCATCTATAACTAGTGGTTATATTTTAGAAACTCAGTGTTAGTTCATTTCTTTCTTATCGCACATAATCACAACTGTATACATACACATTGAGCCTGTGCTCTCCATATGTTCTGTTTGGTTTTTTAGTTGGAAACATGTTATGGTTATACTTGTACCTCAAAGTGGCCATTTTTCAGCAAATCATCTTCATCACTGCTCTTGTATTCCCTTATCAGATTTGGCATGGGTTGTTTCACCAGTTAATTTAGAGGGCACATATTAAGTAAGTTTATAATGGAATGTCTTAAGGTACTAACATTACATCAAAATTACTGCTTGACATTTACCTGTATCTTTTGTAACAAAAAATTAACTACTTATGAAATATTACAAATATGTATAAATGTATAAAATGTACTTCTAATTGTACATAATAATGTACTTGCATGTGGAAAAAGCTGTGTAGACATGCATATTCAAGGTGAATGACTTCACCTTGAGTTAAAGTGCATCCTATGAACTGTGCCCTCCCTAGTAGGTCTCTTCCCAACAAAGTTAAGTTGTAGGTTGAATGGGTGCTTTAGTTCCTACCAGTAATTTACTGAGTGGCCCGAGAGATTGCGTATGACTCATTGATTAATTACTAATGTAGGAAGACTGGGCCAGAGGGCAGCAAAAACCCACCCCCAACATTGTCTTTCCACTAAACCTAATTCTGACCCATTTTTCTGCCTGTGACTAACCTTATCTGGGATAAGGGTTTCCTGGCTGCCTATCTCCTGGCACTCTGAGGACAGATAAAGGGGAAGAGGACAGTCTGGAAAGGACTAAGAGAGTCATATTCCACAGCAAATGTTAGTAAGTAAAAAGGCGCTCCCAATTCCCCGATTTACCTTGGAACTACCAGCACATTGATGTGGGCATTCCAACAGTTAGGAGACTGAGGCCGACAACTTCAAAAATAAAGACAGGAGAAAATACTCAAACCTAGAAGTAATGCTGGTGAGCAGAGTTGGTATCTGTGTCTTCTGACCCTTCCTCAGTTGCAGTGCCTGGAAGTTGAGAGTCAAAGCCCTCTCCCTCCAGTTGCCAGCTAAGTGAGGCACTTCCATGTCCTCACCTCTAAGATGGGTGTAAGATGCCTCTTTCATGGAGCTGGCAAGACACTAGACAAGGCTAGGTGTGTAAAGAACTTAGTGAAGTGTTCATCAGGGAATAGGTAATCTAGTGACATTGTACACAGTGCTCTTGTTGTCTTGTTTTATTTTATTCCATTGCTTTATCACATGAAAAGTATATTCCACAGATTTAGAAACTTTTACTTAGATTTTTCTTGGAAATTTATAACTTTGCTTGTACATCCTTCCTCTATCATGAGTTATATCTGGCCTATTTATGTTTTGTTAAACATTGTTTAAAATATTGTACTACATACTTTTTCCTCTTATCTTAGTATATGTAATTTTCTGTGACCACTATTCCAGATTGTCTCTCCTCTCCTCCATCTCTATCTCTGTCTCTGTCTCTCTCTTTCTATATCTCTCTGTCTGTCTCTCTTTCTCTGATGTTTGTCAGCATCCCTAACTTCCCAACTAAATACCAGTAAAAACTCAACATACAGCTATGGCAAGCAAAAATGTTCAAAATCATAATATTGTGTCCTGCTGGCAATATTATCATTAATATTTAATCTGTTCACATTTAGATAAGTACACTGAAGATATTTTCAATACTAAATTTAACATTTCTGTTTGAAAGATAACACTCAAATTACATAAGTTGATAGTTTTCATTACAAGTTTCAGACATAAAAGTTAGATTTGTTGACAGCTTTGACATATTCAAAACACTTATATTTATTATATTCTCAGAGTTTAATGTGTCCCTTTCTGAGAAAGCATTCCCAATTTCTGTAATTTCTTTTCATTCTCTTTTTCATTTTTGCATATATTACCTTGATCATAAAAGGTGACAGCATAGAGTTCTCTCCTGTGTAAATCTGCTAACATCGTAGGACAGATAAAGTAGATTAACTCTGTGGGCTGTCTGTGTCTTGGCACAAACAGATCATATGTGATAGTTTAACAGAATATTTCTCATTCATATAAAGCACAAATAAAAGGTTTTTGGATAGAGATGAGAAGATAATTATTCTCTCCAATCAATTTCTTTGTCCTAAATCTCAGTAATAGTCTCTTATTTGTGATTCCTAAGGCAATCTTGGGAGGTGAGATCAGCACTTCAGGCCTGGGGTCATTATATCCTAGGAAGAATTGCATGGAAAGTTTTGCTTGGGTCCTCATATTTTCTTAAATGTCTTCTTGAATTTAAATAGTATTATTCTTGGAAGGGAAAATACAAAAAATAAATGTAACAGAATTTTATTGTGTATTTTACACTTAATAACATCAAGAAATTTTTCCAAAAGCTTTTTAGCAGATACTTTTGCATACTTATTTTCTACAGGAAGAATATTCCCCTTCTGTCAATTTAATTCTTCGGTTAATAGGCAGTATAGTATTCCCAGCAGGCAGGCATTTTCTCCAGGAATCATCTTATTAGGGAAAACCCCACATTTTCCCACAAATGGATCTCATGGTGTTTTTAATAATTTTTGTGGATAAAAGTATAGCAATCTTCTTGAATATTAGAGGAAGGTCACCTGCACACAGTACTATTAGTAAAATAGAAAGAACTTACTGAGAAAGGGTTGAAAGGCCACAATGAATTATTCATAGCCTGAAAGCAACAATAATTCACCAAACTTGAAAGCTTTAAGTTATTTCAGCAAAAGCTAACTCTCATCTGTAATATAAAAAAGTATTTCTGTTTCATGCTTACCAGAATATTTATCTTCTTTTCTCTTAGTTTTCTTTCATTTTAGGTGAAATGAAAATTAACTGTGTATCTTGACAGACATTAATAACTGTGTGGTAGTCAAAGGAAATGGATACATCGCTATATACTAAAAAGTAATTAAGGATAGAGCATGTATTGATTATCTGACCTCTGTCTCATAAATATGCAGGTTGCTTCCTAGTGTATAACCTGATGTATACTAATGCTTTCACATCTCCCTAGGGCACACAATTTGCATTTTGATCACACAGTGTATTCCCAGGTTGTATTTGACTGGCACTACCAGCCTCTGCCTTTGGGCCTTAGGCTTGTCACTTCCTTTCTCATACTCCTGCTGAGATTGCCCCCCACAGTGAGGCCTAACTTCAGATTCCCTCAGACTTCCTCTTGAAGACCTACCAGCATTTAGTTCATAATTAATTCAATTTTGTTTCTGGGGCATCAAGTGCTGTCCTTCAAAATTTATTATGTTATATTTACTTGGTTTTGGTCTCTACTGAAATTTACTATACTCCATTTTATTGTCAAGATGTCCCATCATATCTAGTGTTTTCTATTTGTTATTGTTGCTTTCTGATTTCTGGCTTCCTTCTTCAGAGTATCTCATTTGTTAGTGACAGATTAAACATCCTCACATTCTTTGCCATGTGAGTGCATCACAAATATTCCTGTTCTTACTCAGGTTTACTCTGATGTGATACTCTTTAGAATCTCACTATGTAAATACTGAAGTTAATCACATTCTTGAATTATTTTGATATAGTGTTTGACAACTGTTTTTTATAACTGGCGGTGCTTTGGGATAAAAGTTCCTTAACAGGGAGAAATGCATTAACTTTGGGTTTATTTCATTTTAATGTTTATAAAATTTTTTGTACGATAACTCATTTTTTAACAATATATGAGAGATGCTTCCATTTCATAAAGTAGCTACTTAGCTCATAGCTCATGCAGGGTAATTTACTAAGAGTGTCTCGCTTCATTCCCACTGGTACCCTGAAAAATGAGTTTAAAAGCATTGTCATTCTGTGGACAGTTTCTGTGTCAGAGATGTGAAGGAGCTTATCCAGGTTATCTGAGTTCAAACTGTCTTACTGAGGATTCAGAACTAAGTTTGTCTACCTCAGAGCCAGTTTCTTTTTTAGAGTATACTCGGCAATAACTGTGTTCAGTAGAGAAGCTGTGTTGTGCCTGCTATGTGCTTGGTAAAGGTAAAGACCGTGTTTGTCTCCAAGGGCTTCTTGACCTAGTGTCATTCACTAGTAGTCTTTGTTGATTGAACAAGCAAAGATATAGATGACTGTCATTTGTGGCATTTGCAATTAATCTTGCCGTGTTTTTGGATTGATTTTAGGACAGTGAAAATCCCCGACTCAGCTGATGGGCTTGGCTTTCAGATCCGAGGTTTTGGCCCTTCTGTTGTGCATGCCGTAGGCAGAGGTAAGAAATTTGTCGTACATGGTAAACAGCTTTCCTGTGTATTTTGCATATACTTTTAGGGCTGGAAGGTCTTTAAAATATGCATGATCATTTTGCTATGAATTTTTCTCATTTATATTATTTCCACTGTGCTAAGGTAAGGGTAGTATATTCTGGTTCCAATATTTTAAAAATATCTTAAGTCTAAGACATGTTTGTGATTGTTAAAAATTTGATAAGAGAATGGCACCTCAATTTCATTTTTGTCTGTGCTTCAGTTTAGCCAATGATGTAATTATTTTAAGGTGGTCTTTGTATTTTTCTTGACTGCAAATAATTGTATTGGGGGAGTCAGTTTCAAAGGTGTGAGTTTTTGATTGTTACATAATTTCTTCAAGTGTTCCTATCTTAGTGTAAAATTTTTAAAAATTGGTTTTAGGGACTAAAACCTCTTTTTTTGTGTTCTCTTTTTGTTTGAAAAGGAAGTCAGCTATTGACATCTCTTGATACATATATTTTGACATTCTTGATACATATTATACACTGGTAATGATTGAAGGGAATAACAACCACACATTGTCAATTGTTGTAAACAACTGGTGGTTATAACAACAAAAGTCTGTATTAACATAAGCCATGTATTTATGAAACTGGAAGTCACTAAAGTATGTGAAGAATCTTACTACAGTCTTTCAGGCATTAGACAGAAAATTGTTGAGAAGGTATTGCTTTCATAATTAAATTATCAAGAGCATACTAGACCTTTACTAATTATAAAATGATTGTTCATATGCATGATAAAAATGAATCTTTATAAATTTATCTTTTCAAAGTTTCTAACCATATAGAAGGATAGACATATAAACCTTGCCAATAACTCATTAACTGTTACAAAACAAATGGAATAATATGACATCAAATGGTTTTCATTTTCACTAAGGCAAAAAAAGATACATTTTCCATTGTCAGTGCTAGACAGTAACTGAAAACCTGTGCAAATCAGGTTACACCTATTACCCTGTTAGGAAGTCATCTAAAAAGCATCTAAAAAAGGGATTTAGTGAAGAAGGTAGTCTATGTCTGATTCTTGTGCTTTTTTGTTTCTGAAGTGTAGGAGACAGAAATGCTTATGTGCTTATCCTCTCAGAAGTATATTCAGTGAAAGAATGTTTTCCAGTGGTTTCCTTTCACACTAAAATTAAGCCATAAGGAAAATACATTTCTTCCCAGCCTTGCTGCCATATTGGATCCCTGTCTAAGCACCTTCTTTGCTCTGTCTCCTAGCTGGAATAAACTTGTCTGGTTAAGGAATGAGTGTTTACTGATTCACTGTATTGTCTTTTACAGCCTCTGTTGTTATTCAGCAATCTTTCCTTGTGTCCCTCATCTGCTAGCTCTTTCTTCCTGAACTCACCTCCTGCTTTTAAGCTAGATCCCTTTTGTCCTATCCCCAGATAAATTCTCTCAGGCGAGTTTCTCAGCCTCCTGTGCATGGTAAGGTGCAGACGGTAAGGGCCTCCCACCAAGGGCACAGGCTCCTTCATGGAGCCCTTCAGCGCTCCTGTCTCTTTGCTGTCTCCTTCCTGAATGATGAAGTCACACCAGCAGACTTGCTTGAATGTTCCCAGATAGCCAGGAGATTTCCTATGCCTTTTTTCAGGCTGTTCTCTCCCCTGAGAATGTCCCTTCCTCTCTCCGTCCTTCTCTCTTTTTCTCCTTCCCTCAGGACTCAGTTTAATGCAAGAAAAGCACTCAACATGTCTTGGAGTGAATTTTAGTGGGGATTAGGAAGAAAAGAAAAAGTATATTCTTAAATATAAATGTTTTCTTAAATGTATTTAATTATTCCTTTATGGGAGAAATCGTAGTCATTTCTAATATATAAATAATAGTGTTTTGCCGTTTATATGAATTCTATACATTTTATTTATTAATGGTTCTTTGTTAATACTGATTTGGTCAGACTAATAACAGTGATTGGAAGATTCATACAAATGATAACTCACTAGTTAGGATATCCCAGCCCTGTACTGAAATCTGTACTTACCAAACAGAATGACTGGGCATTGTTATTATTGCTTAACTCTGTTCACCACATATTCTCTGGTTCTTAAACTCTTATTTTTCTTAAATCCTCCAGTCTACTTATAGTTGTAAATTGACTAGATTTGTTTTAGAGTTTATTTTTATTTGCATATTATACATTAAGCATTTTAAAAAGTAAGTAGCATTTTAATACTTAGGAGTTTTGTAAAGCGAAATAAGGCATCTTTTTGGCTTTCACATTTAAAAAAAATTTATTTAAAGAAAAAAAGGAACACAGAAAAAAGGTAGAAATAATACAGAATTTCAAAAACAATAAACAGTAAGAAATCACTATTGATAAATTATATATTGTCCTCTTAGAAATAGTTTTTCAAGTTACAATATTAAAGCATACAAAGTGGACAAACAGTGAGACTGCAAACAGTTCTGTTCAATGATCCAACAAAAACTTAGTAATATGGTTATCTATCTTATACATTTAAATATACATGTAGTTATATCCTTTAGAGCACTTTCTTTTCCTCTTTTTTTTTACAATAGCAATTATGCATTTTGGGTTTTATTACTCCTACAGTTCTTACTACTTTTTACACTAAAGACACAATGTGATATTTATAAATATGATTCTTATTTATTTCACTAATGAGAATAGCTTCAAGTTATCTCCATTTGCCTATGAAGGCCTCAAGATCATCCTTTTTATAGCTGAGTGGTATTCCATGGTATAAAAATACCTCATCTTTTTCATCCACTCTGCGGTTGATGGGCATTTTGGTTGTTTCCAAGGTTTAGCTATTACAAATTGTAGTGATATGAATGTGGGTGCACATATATTACTGTGATAATGACTTTTTCAGTTTTTCTGGGAAAATACCCAGGGGTGAATAGCTGGATTGATTTGAACTTCCAATCCTAGACTTCTGAGAAATCTCCACACTGATTTCCATAGTGGCTACACCGGTCTACACTCCCACCAACAGCGCCCCCCCCCCCCCCCCCCCGCCTCACCAGCATCTGTTATCAGTTGATTTTTTGATGGCAGCTATTCTTTCTGGAGTGAGATGAAATCTCAGTGCTGCTTTAATTTGTATTTCTTGACTGCCCAGTGATGGTGAACATTTCTTCATATATTTATTTGCCATTTGTATATCTTCATCTGAGAACTGTGTGTTCATCTCAAATACTCATTTTTGGAGAGGGTCTTTGAATTTGGGGGCTTGATGTTTTTCAATTCTTTATATGTTCTGGATATAAGTCCTTTGTCTGAGGGGTTGCTGGCTAAAATTCTTTCCCATTCTGTAGGGTTTTTTTTTTTTTTTTTCACTTTGTTGGTGATTTCTTTTGAAGCGCAAAAAATTTTCAATAGTATGAGTTCCCAGTTGTTGATTCTTTGAAGACTTCCTGTGCAGTTAGTGTTTTCACATTTCCTTACTACATATGTATATTTAGAAAATTAGATCGATTAGGCAATTAAAAGGAAAAATAACTGATTAGCATTGTAAAGGTCACTTTGCTGTATTCCTTCAAACTAGCTCTTGGGGAGGTGGGACAATATTGGGTTAATCATAATTTGAATGAACTGAGAAAAAAGCCAGAAAAAGTGGAGAGGACAATGCTATCAGACCCAACTTTACCAGGGACATACTAACCAGACCTTTATTGTGTTTTAAAATTACTTCCATTGTTCTGTATATGATAAAGATGAATCTTATCCTGAAATTCTGTTTTGGCAACATTCCCATTTGTGTTTAAAGGCACCGTGGCTGCAGCAGCTGGCCTTCACCCTGGACAGTGTATTATCAAAGTAAATGGTATCAATGTCAGCAAAGAGTCACATGACAGCGTCATCGCACACTTGACAGCTTGCAGGAAATACAGGCGTCCAATGAAGGTAAACTGCTCTTCAGTTTATCTGGATCTAATTTCAAACTTGCTAGGAAGGCCTAAGAGACTGGATAAGATAGCCCCCGAGATGTTTGTGGGTTTTCCAATTCTAATTTCAAATTGGAACACAGAGTTGTAAATGTCATGAGTTCTACCTGCATAGTTACTTAAAGTTGTGTTTAAATGGTTGCATTTTGTTTCAGTGTTACTACTTGTTTAAAAAGTGATTTGGGAGTCCAGGATTTCGCTCAGCAGTATAAGTGTCTGCCTGGCAAGTCATGAGTTCGATCCCCGGTGCCAAAAAACAAACAAACAAAAAAAGTGATCTGGGGTATTTTCGTATTCACTTTGACAAGACTGTATCACACTGCCAGATATGGTGGTACACACTCTTAAGCCTGCAATCCTGGCTGGCTCTCAGGAGGCCAAGCAGGAAGATTGCTGCAAGTTTGAGACAGGCCTGGGCCACATAGTGAGCTCAAAGCTATCCTAAACTACATAGTGAGATTATGTCTCAACAGAAGAAAGAACTATCAAATTGAAATTCAAAGGTTTGAGCTGTTTCTTGTGGTCACTTTAGAATATATGATAATCATTGTATATCTATCTGAATATATAAGTTATACTTCAATATAAAATTAAATATAAAAATAAAAATAAATATAAAATATAAATTATACTTCATTATAAAATTTCTATGAAAAAGTAAAAATTGTGGACTTGATAATCTGATCTTTTTGTATATACTCATTTTGGTAACAGGATTTAGCTTTTAACAGAAGCTATCAACATGTGCTTGCCAATGTTTAAAATTTTAAGCTTTATCCTTTGATGCCTAAGTGCAACAGAAAAGCCGGGTTTATCTCATGACAAAAAACAAGAAATAGACTGCAACAAAAATTTCTCTCGATGTGTCAACTAGATGCAGCAGGGATTTTTCAAGGCATTTTGTATTTTTCTTGTTGTGAATGGGACATACTCTTTTGGATTTGAGAATACGATTTTGTGTCCAAACCAGGAAGAGGGACAAATGTTTTGTCATAGGCCTGATACCCTGCAAAATAGTGAATTTACATGAAACTTGCTTAACAGTTCTGCTTTCTAATAAGGTCAAAACTAGTGTAACAAATTGGAACTTACACATAAAGTCTAGGTTTCTCTGATAACAGCTCAATAAATATTTGTTGAACTACGTGATTGCATGTATTTTTCAAGAATCTTCTAAGTTTTCTAGTTTTCCCTTCCACCAGAATTTTAATAAGTTTCCAAGCTGAAATATTTGTATTTTATTCTTTGTCACTCTCTTTGCTGCCTCTGGGAGAGATGTTGATCAGTGAGATGATTAAAAAGAGCAATAAAGAAGGTAGAAAAATTCATTGAGTAATGTGCTCTCTCTCAGGTATCTATTGCAGCAAAACAGGTGACCCCACATCTTGGTGACCTAATATGGCAGCAGTTATTTTTCTGTATTTGACTATGTGATGATTTCAGTGAAGGTGCTGATGTGACTTTTTCTGGAGCTCCTGAGTACCTGGTTCCTCTCTTCCTGGTATCCTACTTTATATGTTGAGCTGTCCTTCATAAATCCTCGTATGGCTTCCCTTTTGAGTCTCTACCAGAATTTCCCTTTCTGCATGGTGTCTGGACTTTAGAAAGGAATATTACCAGCAATAATCCCTCTACATGATTGGTACTTGCTAGTGTCTCTTTGGAAAAATTGGGTCACAATGCCAGGCCCAGGGTTCTGTAGGAAGGCAAAACAGAAGTATTCTGTGGATACTTTGGATTTAGCACATTAGTGAACACACCAGTGATTAAGTTAGCAAGCACTTTTGTTTATTTATTTATTTTTTGTGCCGTGGGTTGAACCAAAGTCCTGTGCCTTCTAAGCACGTGGTCTACCACCAGACTACACTATACTCTGAACTTCTTAACTGCTGTTTAATGATTTATGGAAGTGTTATAATTAAATATAATTGTAAAGCTAATATAAGAGAAAAAATGGATACTCGTACTACATATTGTGTCAATTCAGTGACACAATAGTTTGTTATGTTTTCTGGGAAACCTATAAACCTTAAAGTAATACAATCCTTGAGGTATTTATTTGGTAGCCGTTTGATCTCTGTTCATTCTCAAAATTAGATTGGAACTGGCATTTCATTTAAAAAGGATGATTTATGACATGGAAAAATGAAAAAGATAGTTACATGACTTGGAAACAAATGAGATGTTATAGTTTTCATATTGATTTAATTTAAAACAGTGTTAAATATATTAAAATATATGTGGTTTTTAGGATATCTAACTATTCATATAGTTACAGATAATTGATTCATCAAAATATTGTCCATCCAAAATATGCTTACTTTAAAATATGATTTATATCAGTTTAAAGATATACTTGAGACATTTAAACTAGGCAGTATTTTGGAACACATCTTTGGAAAATAAATTTACATAAAACATATCTTTGGGAGAAAATTTAAACTTGAAGAAAGTCATTTTATTAAATTGCCATTGAATTTCCCCTGTGAGGATTTTTTCTCTTTTAAATTTTATTAATTTTACACAAGTTAGAGTAATAAGATGGTCAGCTTCTAAAGCAGGTTTATGAAATGGATATGCATTGTAGGAAACACTAATTCCTCTGAGGTTCCTTTCCCCCTCTTTTTTAGCAAGATTCCATACAGTGGGTTTATAATAGCATTGAGAGTGCTCAGGAGGACCTCCAGAAATCTAACTCCAAAGCTCCTGGAGAGGAATCAGGGGATGCTTTTGACTGCAAAGTAGAAGGTGGGTGCCTTCTTTTTATTCTCAGCTGCTGATAGTGTCATTTTTTGTTTTATTTTGTTTTTTGTACTGGGGATCGAACTCGTGACTTTGTGCTTGCCAGGCAGGCACTTATGCCACTGAGCTAAATCCCTAACTATAGTGTCATTTTATTCTCTGTGTCTGCTTCCAAATCTTAAAGGTCTATGCTCAAGCTATGTTTTTAAATCTTAAGTGATTATCACCAAGTAGATGTCATGTCAAATATGTAAGTAGTAATTTCTGGTAGCTATCACAAAATAGCCAGATCTTGTTTAGTAGTAAATTTTAAGTGGTTTATGTGCATATTTCACTTAGTCATCAAATCAGAAAATTTCATCAAGTAGGTCTGATCATTACTATTTCTTTTGTAAATTAAGGCCTACAAAGTTCGAGGGCTAGACTAAATAAGTGATAGAGTGGAGATTCAGACTCAGATTATGCCGTTTCTTTGTTTGGAGTCGAAGGTTGTTGGACTCTGCTTTTCCCATGTGGCACAACGACCAGCAGAGCAGCATCAGTAGGAGCATCACTGTACGTGACAGCTGTGCAGGGCCTCTGCCCTGAAGCTGTGGAATCAGAATTCCTGTTGTGGCAAGATCTAATCTGGGTGCTTATTAAAATTTGAGAAAACCTAGTCTGGAAGGTCCATAGTTCCTGTAAAAATATGTTTTGATTTAAGGAACTTTTTCTGTATTCTAACATGGACAGAAAAGAGACAAACAGTGGGGGTGAGGAAAGAGAGAGAGAGAGAGAGAACACACTTTTATTAAAGATCTTGTTAGCCAGGTGTGTTAGCTCACACCTGTAATTCCAGCACTTGGGAGGCTGAGGCAGGAGGATCGCTGTGAGTTTGAAGCAAGCCTGGGCTGCAAAATTGAGTTCAAGGCCACCCTGAACTGCATAGTGAAACTGCATCTCAAAAAGAAAAAAAAAAAGAAAGATCTTGACATTTCTGTTTCCTCAGTGGAGCCATCCAGCAACAAATGGCCATAGTCAGTGGCTTCTTTGCCAAGGGCAACTGAGGCAATTACATTATGTCTGCATTTGACAAGTACCTTGAGTTATGTTTCAGAACTTTTTAAACAGAAGTCCTTGAGCCCTCGCTTGCGTTTTCCTAGTCCCTTTCCATTTGTATTATTTATAGGTGTCTATCAATTTTTATTATACCACTATATTCTTCCAAACCATTGCAGCCAGTTAATCTTCTATTTGAGCAGATATTACTGCCAACATTTCTGACACCATATATGTGGAGATTTTTTTTCCCCACACCAAGCCATTTTCCTACTCTCCAGACACCAGCTGGGCATTCCACGGTACCATTTTCACAGTGATGGCCAGGAGTTGGCACAGGCCTCAGGGTGAAGGGATCAGTCTGACAAGACTGCCCTCACTTTATATACCTTTTGCAAGTCCCAGGTTTCTACCTTATTTCTGGCCAACTGGACTTTAAGTACAAATTTCCCTATTACAAAGGGTACAAAACGAACAGCAAATGAGAATACTTAGGGCCTGGAAGGCTCCCGAGCCCGGGAGCTCTGTCTCCATGAGTGCCTTCCTCCTGGTATGTGGATGTGTTCTCCTGTTTGGAAGCTCTCCTATCTCTGTTCATTTTGGGAATTTTATGGAAGTCCATTATATGACAAGAGTGACTTTATTTCTGACTGTGGGTGATTGAACAGAGGAGCTGGGGATCCTAAAAGTTCCAGAGCATAATCACATAGCTGATCACTCTTACAACCAGTTGAAGCATTTAGAAGCACTCCAAGAAGCACCTCATCCTTATAAACTTGAGTATGCCCGAAGGGAGACACAAAGATATCCTTGTCATTTCTATTGCTCAGTGAATTATAAGAATTTTAGAAGCCTCTTTTCCAGAACATGGGCCAAGGAACAAGTATACATTTTTATTGCATAATATCTGTATACACTGTCCGACTAGAGGTTACCTAGGAAACTTGTTTTTTCCTCATTTCTAGAGGCTTCATAGTTGGATACTATCATCCTTTTAGCAATGTCAGAAATATCTCATCCTCTTTGAGCAATTAAGTTGTTGTGATAATATATAGTTTCTTTTGTTCCAAATAGGGGAGACTCAGATGTCTTATCTTGAGGTTTTATTCTTTATCTGGAGTAAATTGAAAGGTAGATTGGATGATGTGATAGAAATTCATTTCTGCCTATTGTGGGTCTTACTCACCTTAAGGTAAACTGATATGCTGTTTTGGTCTATTTAATTTTTATGGCTTGCTGTCCCATTATAAGACTTTTTGTTTTAAATAAAGTAATATTTTTTTTAATGTTTACATTTAGGTCTCCCAATAGTTTCTCACTGGAGATGTTAGGTATTTTTTCATCAGCTGACTGATTATAAGCTTAAAAAGCATATAGGCTGACATCCAGATAGAAATTCTAGTGTAGGAATCAGTGACAAATTTTCTCAATGACCTCTGTCTTCAGGATGCAATTTAGGTATTTTCTCTGCTGAAAAAATGATTCCTTCATATCCTTTCTACTTCTTCAATTTGGCAATATTTTTAGTGGTTTTTGCTGCTTTGAGAAAATCACACGTTCTGTTAATAATCAGGAAATGTATAATTATATCTATAGTGTTTGTGTTAGTATAAATAATCTTGGAAATGGTCCACAGTGCAAAGTGAATTATACAGATTCTACTGGTCATATTAAGATAGTGAGATATTGACTATTCACAGTTGTTTTTTTGAAAAAATTGTTTTTGTTTTTCAAACTGTTAAGAATTGGTGCTTCATTTAGCACACCGGGTTTAACTATTCTTTTTCTTTTTCTTTTTTCTGGTACCGGGGATCAAACTCACAACCGCCTGCTTGCAAGGCCAGGTGCTTACGCCGCTGAGCTAAATCCCCAGCCCCGGTTTAACTGTTCTTTAAAAATTACCTAGAGACTCACAATTTATGAGGGAGTGAACCAACCCTTCATGAATTTGCTGATTTCAAATCCTCTGTATTCCAGAGGTGATTGATAAGTTCAACACCATGGCCATCATTGATGGGAAGAAGGAGCACGTGAGTCTGACGGTGGACAACGTCCACCTGGAGTATGGGGTGGTGTACGAGTACGACAGCACAGCTGGGATCAAGTGCAACGTGGTGGAGAAGATGATCGAGCCCAAAGGCTTCTTCAGCTTAACTGCCAAGGTATGAGTGGCCCGTGGCTACGGGGGTCTTCGTTTTTTATTTACAAAGCAATTAATCTTTTCCACCCTCCCACTGTTAAAAAAGAGAATGGCTATACACGCTGTGGCTGAGAGATCATGCAACTTACTCTTTGCTCCCATTATTATGTGCTGTCTTCCTCTTTTTGATCTTTCTTGAGCACAGCGTTTCAATGGGACTCTTCAGTAAAGTGTTACTGTATCAAAGATCATTGTATTGGTTAAGTTTGTTCTGTTAGTGAAGTATTGTGAATATGTTTCAGATGGTTTTTATAGGACTTTTTTTCTTAATGTACATTACACTCTGATGAATATTTGAAGCTACAAAATACATATATTGTAAGAAATTTCAAACGTTTTGTCAAAAATTAGAGGAAGTTAGAGATCAGTTTATGAATAGGTCCACAACATTTGTATAATTCTCATTTTGAAGAATATCATCATATGGTCCTTAGGGGAAAGCCAATATGAGGAGAGAAGAAGGTAGTTGATATTCAGTGGATTAAATATGTATAAAGAAGTCGCTCTGTGCTTCTTTTCCTGGGCTTTTGAATAGCCATATTACTATATCATCTAAAGTCCTGGGCTTTAGCATTTCATTCTACTTTTATATCATCCTGAGAGAAGTCAGCTATTACAAGTAAGAAAACGAGATATAGATTCCCAGACTGTATTTCTTAAATTCTTGTTTCAAATAATCTTCAGTTCAGGTAGTTACCATTTTCCCATGTATTTTTTTAAAAAAAATATGTAATGTGAGAAATTAATACAGAAATCCAAATGAACTATTTTAAAAATAAATATTTTATCCTTTTTTGTTTTATATTTTGAAAGTCTATTTAAAGTATCTCTTCTTTTTGCCACTATTGAGACAAAGTACATAATTTCAAAACAACATCTCTTTTCAACTGTGTTACACAATGAATAGGATCCATGTAAGAGTCCAGAGCCAGCTTATTATAATCATTTTATCTTATTTTCCAGCTATTTCAAGTTTTTAAAAATATATGCATTATTCTTTATGCAATAACTGTATAAACTAGTACTGTAGATAGCATTTCCATTTTACACATGAAAAGAGTCAAAGAAGCTAAGAAATGTAGCCAGGACCACACTGCTGAGGATCAAGGCAGCTATTCTCTGGCTTAACAGAGAAGTGGAGGTGGTAAGAGAGCTGAAGAAAATACAACCTTGACACATTTTGTCTTATAGAATGTTATAAAAAGTATTGTTTAAAGGTATAATTCATCATTGTGATTTCTGATTTTTAAAGTAAAAGTTAATATAGTGCTTAATTTTCAATTTATTTGAAATTCTCATTGATCTAATGATCTAATGTACGCTCACACATGGATTTACGACATTCAAATATGCAAGAATATTTGCTAGTTGCAAACATCTCATGGATATGGTCTGATACTTTATCAACTATCTAGAGCTCAGACATTGCATAAATATCAATTTAGTCTTTACCAAGGCAATGTTTCATTTATCCATCCCTTTAGCAAGCATTTTTTAATTACATAGTATGTGTTTGGCTCTCAGTTACAAGTAAAGATATTATTGCATTTCCTTAGCTTTTTTGTTCTACTACCCAGTTGAGAAAAATAATGTTCTGAGTCACTCTGAGTAAATCAGAGATGTGTTCCCACATCAGAATGTACTGATTTATGCAACAGGGAGCCTTTGAAGTCCCTTTGCATCCCCAGGAAGGCTTTTATAGTCAGCAGAAGGTGAAACCTGAGATTCTAGCCAGACACGTCAAACCACTTCACTGACAGTGTCTCCCTGAACATGGAATTCCTGGGGAGCTTCTAACAACAGCAGGACAACAAGAAAAGCATACAGAATGACAACAACAAAACCATACAGAACGACAACAACAAAAGCATATAGAAAAGTCACACTGTAGTGTAAACTTGTGAAAATTATATGTGTGTCTACTTTTGAAGTTTACCTTGTTTTGTGTGTGTTTTATCACTACAGATTCTTGAAGCCCTGGCTAAAAGTGATGATCATTTCATACAAAACTGCTCCAGCCTTAATTCTCTAAATGAAGTGATTCCTGCTGACCTTCAGAGTAAATTCCATGCCATTTGCAGTGAAAGAATTGAGCGCATATGTCAGAGAATACTCAGTTATAAAAAGGTAGAGTTCGTATAAATTTACATATAATTACTACTGAAAATATTATTCAGATGTAAAATTAAAATTATTTTCTTCATTTATATGTTAGGATATTTGAAATAATGGTAGTATTTATATAAATGGTATAGTATGTTTAATGTTACTATGAGAAAACTCCTGAGATTAAGTGCTGTACTTTATCTAGAAGTTATTATTTCCTGGTCTGGATGCTAGAAATTCCAGCATCAAGGAGCTGGAATGGGTTCCGTGCCTGCTTACTGCATTTCCATGTAGGAGGGTGTGACGCGGTGCACAGAGCAAGCCTACTAGCTCAGTTCTCACTTCCTCTTGTTTGAAAAACACTAACAGCATCATGGGGTTCTACCCCATGATTTAATTATTAATGTGAATTACTTCCTGAAAGCCGCACTTCAAATACTCTTCATTTATATGTGAATTTGGGGAGTAAGTTTGCAGCAAATAAGTTTTGAGGCAACACATTCTAACCATATAAATATTTTTTTAGTGTCTTACTTTCTCATTTGAACTTTTGCAAGCCAATAAACTGTTATTTCCAAAATTTTCAGAAAAATAACCACTTTGTAGTTAAAGAGTTGTTTTAAATGCAGAGTATCTAATTCTGAAGTCAGATTTTAAAATTACATGATAGCCCTTTTCCCCTTTTCTTCCAGCAAAAGGAACAGAAGGCTTTAATCAGAATGCATATGGAAAATATGCATTCTAACTTGATCATTTGGTATATTCATTTGCCATTTGTTTGTCAGGTGCTTTCTATGTGCCAAACACTGTCCTAGGTACCAGGAATATAGCCAGGAGCAAGGCAGACAAGATTTTTCCTCTCATGATGTTCATATTCGTGTGGAGGAGACAGCAAAGAAGTAAATAAATCTCTAAAAAGTAGTGTACTCAAACTTTGAAAAGAGTTACAGAGAACTCAAAATAGGTGTGATAGGCAGTGCCAGGGTGGTGCCTTTCGACCGGGTGGTCAGAAAAAGCCTCTTTTAAGAAAGCTTGTTTCTGAATAACAGGTAGATGCTTCCATTTGAAAATGATGGGAAACATCTGGTTAAAAGGAAGTGATTGTGAGGTCCCAAAGGAAAAAGAAAAGGCCAGGTGGCCAGATGAGTCAGAGACATCAGCAGGAGCTTGTCAGGAAGAGCCGTGGAAGCATTGTACATTGTGATGCTTTGGAAGAAGTTGGACTTCATTCTTAAATCAATAAAAACCAATTGGGAGATTTTGAATGATATCATCCAAATTTAGGGTTTGAAAGGCCATGTTTTTGTAAAGATAGGTTTTAAAGAGTACAAAGGGGAAAAGTCAAGAATAGTTAGAAGAAATTCTGATCCTCCAGGGGAGCAGTGATGATAATTTGGACTGCAGTGAAGATGGTGGTGACAGAGAAAATTAGAAGGATTTGGGGATACACTGTGAAATTAAAACTAATGAAAATTGATCTCCACATATATAACAAGTATAAATTTTATTTTACTTATATCAGTAGACTAGTTAAACTTTTTCTCAGTTAAAGAGTATGGATGCTTAAAATTTTGTACATCTACACTAAAGAATATTATGCTCTACAGTATCTGAATATTATTTGACTGTATTTTTTGTTCTTGATAGTCTAAGAATAAAGCCATATTTGTGCAAATGAGAATAACAGTGTACGTGGGTAAAAACCCAAGAAAAAGTCAAGTTGGCAGAGCGACATGAGGGGAAAAGAGGGATCATTATTTTTTCTTACAGCTCTTCCTGTAATATTTGACTTATTAATTGTTCATTGCTGTTTTAATTTTTTGAAAGTCCAGTCACATGACCAACAGTGATCTAAGATCACTGCCATGTATGCATGGCCTCTTTCCATGCCTTTCCATAGCTTACCTCCTTCAATTTGGCTAGAGTCCAGAAACCTGCCTTTTTTTGGAACCTGAAATAGAGAAAATTCGCCTTTCATTTCTTCCTATGTAAGATGTGACAGTTTTGAAGTAAAATAGGCTCTAAACAAATGCAAATTAGTAGTCTTCTATTGAACACATTTGAAACAGGATTGTTCTGCTTCAAGATAGACCTGTATAGGAAGTGTAAGGACTCAGGGACTCCAGGTGTTGAACTGGTCACTGTGTCTGTGCCATTTACTTTTATTTCTCGGCTTTTCTTCTTACTTACCGCCATCATTTCATCCAACAAATCACTGGAAGTAATGTATGGAAAAGCTAAACTTCATTTAAAAACTGGAATCAAAGTAGATGAAGCTTCTTTAGTGAAAAATAACAATAACAAAGAATGAAACAAGAGAGATCTGTTTCTCATTCATATGGACGTTCAACCTGGAGTTTACAGGGCAGTGTTTGACAGTGACAGCTTGGTAGGAGTCTTCTCCAGTTTGTATTTTTCTGTCTTTTTCTAGCATATTGTCCTCTTCTCTACGGTCAAAATTGGCTCATCAATATGTCAGATGTATGACCCCCAGAAGGGGAAGAAAGGAAAGGCAGAGTGTAAGATTTTCTGTGTGAGAGCGTGATTCAGAAGCTATCCTGTCACTCCTGTGCACACCTCATTAGTTATTCAGCAACAGAGAGGCTGAGGAAATGTTCTCACCAGCTGGTGTGAGTGCCTAGTTAAAATTCAGGAAGTTTTATTACTAAAAGGAAAAAGAAGAGAATATATATCGGAGGAAATTATCCATGTCTAATACATGCTAACGCTGTATTAGAATAGAGTTTATAGACTCTCAGGGAAAGGGTTCTGTGTAAACAGGTTCAAAGACTTTGCCAAAGTTGGCCTTCATCTATCTGGTAGTCAAAATAAAAAAGAATATAACCTGTTACATATTTATCAGTATTCCTGTGAAAAATGCATTTTTTTCTTAAAAGTAACACTGCATTTTTTGGACTGAGTTCTAAAAGAAATATATCACTCTAGATATCACAGAAGCAAATCCAAGAAATGCCGTAGATAGTATCCATAAGCATACTGCTGCATAAGAGGTAAAATGATAAAGGATTTACTTTATGTAGCAGATATTTTAAAAATTGTCTCTAATTAGAGTTCATAGTATATTCAAAGACTCAATTTTGTAACAGCTGTTTTATCCTAGGATGGGACAGGAAGAATAGGGAAATACTAATATATAACTTCTATGAAGTAGGGGCTTAAGTAAGAGTTACTCATCATACCTGCCTTCTTAAAGTCTAGTTGAGAGGAAAAGTCAAAATATATAAAGTGAGGGGTAATATTGGCTACTTGACGTACTGGCAATAGAGTTATGTGGCGTGCAACTGTTTGGAGCAATGTAGAGCAAGGCATAGTCATTGCGTGAGATACTTAATTTTCCTACATTGTATACACTTAGCAAAATGGTAATATGAGATACACACTACTCATTCCCCATCTTATTGATTGATTAACTAAAGTTCAGAGTGGTCAAGTAACTTCCCCAAATGTAACAGCAGTGGAATTTGAACCTTGTTCCCTTTTATTCTAATGTGGTTGTTGCTTTCCCTCCATTTGACGTTGTATAGCACAGCTTATGTATTACTGAATATGATTCTGACTACTAGAGCAAAAGAATTTTAGAAGAGGAAAAATTAGCGTGGATTGAATAGTCAGCAATATAGTAGTTCCTGTAAGATGGTAGTGTTTGTCACAGTGAAAGGGAGGAAAGATGACATTCAAGTAAAGAGAATTATTATCAGTTCAGACAAAGATATGGAAATTAAATTGACTTTTTTGGTAAAAAAAATATTGGTATACCACCTGGACTAGAAAAGAAAATGTGAATTGAAAGTAATTAAACAGACAAAACTGAAAAATTCAGTTTTTCCAGTGATACTCTGAAGTCACATAATAATCAGGTTTGTTTGTAAGAAAATCTTTTGCCATAGTATAAAGCAACGATCTCCAGATGTTTTGGTTTTGTAGAAGACAGCTTTTATGTGGACAGGTGTGTGGTGGATGGTTTTGGGATGATTCAAAGGAGGCACAACTTAGATTCTTTGTACATGCAGGTTATACTGGCATTTGTACTCCTGTGAGAACCTGAAGCCCTGTGAATCTGAGGACAGGAGGAGCTTAAGAATGGATGTGAGCAGTGAGGAGTAGATATACATAGAGATAAACTTTGCTTGCTTGCCTGCTCTTCACCTTGTGATATGTGGTCCAATTCCGTAGCACAGTGTTGGGGACCTCTAGTTTAAAGTCACGATGGTAAGGAGGTTAATACACAATCTTTGCTACCTGTAGAGGTGTAAGTGGATGTAACTTGGAGTAGCATAGAAGCGTTGGAGATGGAGACAAAAAATCAATGCAAGCTCTACAAAGTATACAGTGTATGATGAATTAGTTATGATGGATGAAAACACTGTAATTTCTTGATGAATTACCACAGACAGAATTTTCAGTTAACTGGGGTGTTTGTGCAGGGGGTTAGAAGAAAGTACTGTAGAGTTTGTTCTCAAATGTTGTAGATTCTTAAAATCATCACCCTGGTGAATGTGCAATGTGACCCACTGACTCATGAAGCATTGAGATTCTGAAAACCTTTATAATAGAGAGGGGCAGGGTGATGGGCAGTGAATTTAGACGATAAAAATAACACTACTGGGTTACAGAAAAGACCTTTTATGTACATTATTGTTGAGTCTCCACACAGTGATGTGTGCTGACTCTTTGTTAATCCCTCCTTGCAGATACGAATTTGCCTCAGTCACACCAGCATTCTCTTACATAGCTATCAGTTGTTTGAAGTACTCTGTCATTAATTTTAATTTTTATTTTTAATGTAGAAATGAAAGAGACATGTCTAGCAAAGGAGAGTCTAAATGCTATAAAATCTGTCCTTGTCATCATAGTATTTGGTCATAAATATACTTAAAATAATTGGCTGTCTTCCTAATTGGAAAAGCAATATTGACAAGAACATTTCAGGGATCATCTCAATTTGAATAAGATGTAAGATGGTAACCCTAATAGGCTGTATAAAGTTAGCCCCATTCATGTATCAAATGCATGTTAACACAAACTGTGGCTTTTGTGGTTTTTAATTTCGACATGTTTATTTTTAAACTATTATTAACATATTTTTCTTCCAGATGAAAGCTTCAGCGCTCCTTTTTTTGTGTGCAATAACATGTATCCATAGAAACTAAACTCTTAAAAAGGCTGGCTTGACTTTATTTTGACTCTGAAAGTTTTAGATTTTAAAAATAGAAACTGGTTGATTTCTATAGTTTGTATAGCCAGGCTGCTATGATCATAATAGATTTCCTGGCCAATTTTAGAGCCCACAGATGTTTTTCAGTTCATGCATGAAGAAGGTTGGACCTTATTGAATTCAGACCTGAATAATCTTAAGCAGGCCTTTACTCTCTCTGGAGGAGGATACATTCAGATGTAAAACTGTATCCTGTTTTGAGGAGTACTGTTCTTTCCTTTTTCTTCCTTGGAGAGAGTCCTGGTGCTAAGGTCTTGGTCTTCTCATTTTCTGTCTTCATTCTCTCTCTTGTGGTGATCTTCTGAACCACTTTCCACCATCTGAGCTTAATTCATGTTTGAAATAAGTTCCTGGTTCTGTCCTCTGCAGTGTGTTCTGCTAGTTGTCTTGTCTATCTCAGGATTATATCCATTCTGCCACTGAATACGTTCATTACCCTGCCCCTCTCATCAATCTTTTGTCTCAGCCTGCAGACTCTGTACTCTTTCCTTGTGGCTTCTTACCACTCGCGGTCCAGGGCAAGCCACTTTCATCTTTCTCCTGTAAGTGGTCCCCTGCTCCCACCTGTGCCCACCTGGTTTGTTAAGGCCTACCAGACCCCACAGCATGCCACAGAATGCCTCCTTAACTGTGAACCTCTCAGTGCTCAGTGCTGTGACCTTTTGCTGTTCCATTTACGATCTACTCTGTCTTTTTAATATTCCTTGAACACACCCAGCTGAGCTCTTCCCTCAATCAGATGCTTCTGCCTAGATATACACATACACTACTCTCCTCTTCCTTTGAGTTTTTGCTTAAATGATAACCCTTCAGTGAGGTTTCCCCTGACTACTCTGATTAGAACTGACCATTCAATCTTTGCTTCACCTCTGAAACTCCCAAGCCTCTCACTCTGCTTTATTTTGTTTCAGTTATATTTTCCATTTCTCACATTATACAGTTGACTTACTGCATTCTCTCCTCTCTTAGTAAGAATGGTAAAAGATACAGATTTCCTCAATATTCTGTTTGTTACTCTCGTAGCAATACCTCACTCCCAGATAGTCAGGGATTCTCAATCCTTTGCTTTTGAGACTAAGGTTCAGTGGAACTCTATGAGAAACCTGTTTGTAATACACAGATAGATGTAGTTATTACCCTCGGGATGTTTTCCATCTTACCAGGTAAGCAAAAGACAAGAAACAAATTATAATGATAAAGAAAGTTACAGTGTGCTGTAATGTAGCATATAACCAGGAAGGTAGAACTTGGTTTAGGATTCAGGCAAGGCCTCTTGGTGATTTATTAGGATCTGAAGATGCACAGGAAAATGTTTGGCAGTGAGGGAAGAAGAAAATTATGATCCCACTGAGAGATTGCAAGAACTATTCTTTAGATAGTACTTGAGAGAAACTATGAGAAAGCCATATGGATTTCAGAGATTAAAAGAAGAGAGTTTTATGTAGATAAACTAGGGGAAGATCAAATTTTGGACAACTATATAGTTCATGACAAAAACTGAAGGATTTGAATGGAAAACTATTATACTGGAAAACGCTTGAACCAGTGGAGCGGCCACCCTCGGAAGTCATGAATCATTTGAATATCACTTTATCGTCTGTGTTATCAAATCAGACTGGAAAGTAGTCTTTGAGTTAATTCTGACCCCAAATCTCATTTGTGACTAGCAGGAGGCATGGGAGGTACAATTATCCTGCCATTATGCATTAACATCACCACACTGTGCTCTCTGGTCTTTATGCAGAAGTATGCTTTAGGTCGGCTCTTTAATATTTCAAGTAGTGCCTTCCTCTGTTTTCCTTGACCTGATACCTGTATTGTTTTGTTGTCTTGTCTTACTTTTTTTTTTTTTTTTTTTTTTTTTTTTTTGGTCTTTTTCCTTTTTATCGGTACCGGGGATCGAACTCACGACTGCTTGCTTGCAAGGCAGGCGCTCATGCTGCTGAGCTAAATCTCCAGCCCCAGTCTTGTCTTACTTTTAAGATCTGTTTTCTATCCTAGTAGTTTGGGAAGCTGTTTTCCTTATTAGACTCTGTCGTTACTTGGAGCCTGTGTCTTAGTAAGTTGTATTGATCACCGAGGTTCAGTTTTTTTAATACCTCACTTGTAATTAGAATTTAAAGGGAATAGTTGGAGTAGTTGGATGTGGAGGCGGAGATCAGTAATCTCAGAACTCTGGGAGGTCAGGCCAAGAGGCAAATGTTTGAGCCAAACCTGGGCAACTTAGAAAGACTTTGTCCGAAAATAAAAGTTTAAAAAATGATGTGTATGGAGGTGGGGGATGATGATACAGCTCAATGCAAAGGACCTGGTTTCGATCTAGTACCATGAAAATAAAAAAGTCTGGTTTTTGAAATAATTTAATTCCTAAAATTATAATTTGTTTCACTTATGTCACTTGACCTGGTTTAATTTCCTATTGATTTAGTTGTGCATAATCCAAGTGAAATGTTGGTAATTATTGTGGGTTTAAGTACTTTTTATTTCTTCTTTAATTTGCAGTTCTCTCGTTTTCTGAGGAATCGAGCCTGGCCCACCTTTAAGCAAGCCAAATCTAAAATCTCTCCACTGCACAGCAGTGACTTCTGCCCTACCAACTGCCACGTCAATGTGATGGAAGTTTCTTATCCTAAAACATCAACCTCCCTGGGGAGTGCCTTTGGGGTGCAGTTGGATAGTAGGAAACATAATTCTCATGATAAAGAAAATAAATCTTCTGAGCAAGGTATGTTAGCTTTTGAATTTTTATTGGATCATAGAAAGGCACTTAGGCAATTTCAGCTATTCCTATACCTTAAAATTTGATGGATTTCAGGTGTGCAACAAGCCTACCTTTCATAAAGGCTTCCTCTTTCTAGAAACACGTAGATAACTGTGCATGAGCATCTGCAGGGTGGAAATGGAGTTGAGCATTTTCATTATGTTCCCTTTCGGAAGGGAGATTATTTGACCCTCGTTATTGTATGTACCTATGTATGATAGGACCAACTAATATGCTGTGAAAACTAATAATCTGAAGTGACTCTGTAATTTAGACAAAAATACCAAAGCAGCAGATGAGGGATACATACAGCAATTCCTCACTATTGCAGTAGGACAAAGGATTGAACTCTTTATACCTTTTAATCACAATTTTCCACAAGCTTTAATTCTGAATTAAGTTCAGCATTGGAATGGGATTCTATTTTATGTCAGCGTGTACATCTAAAGTGTATTGGAGTGAGCAGCTGGTGTACTGCTAAACGTTGCTATGAAGTGATTTTAATTCCTCAGGGAAACTGAGCCCTATGGTATACATCCAGCATACAATTACCACCATGGCAGCCCCCTCGGGGCTGTCTCTGGGACAGAAGGATGGCCATGGTCTCCGGTATTTGTTAAAAGAAGAAGATTTAGAGACTCAAGATATCTACCAGAAACTGTTGGGAAAACTGCAGACTGCACTGAAAGAAGTGGAGATCTGTGTTTGTCAAATAGATGAGTGAGTATTTGGTGTTGTACCTTTACATTTATCTAATAAAATAACAATAGAAAGGGTGACTTTTGAAAAAAATCTATGCATTCTTTCTTTAGTTTTAGGAAATGTAGGAAATTTGTGCTGAGCATATGGATCTTCATCATTCTAACATGTTAAAATGATGAAAATGGGATGGAGATGGATGGATAGATATTTTAAACAAACATTTAATATGAGGGACGAGAATGATCAAATTCTGTTTTATAGAATAGTAAGATTCAGTGTGAAAATATTACATTTAAAATATGTTTAAAGGTGTACTGTGTATGGGATGTCCTTGTCATCATTTGGCTTAGCGCATTATTGTAGTATACACATGCTTTCAAGAGATACTATGAAAGACACGAAACATAATAGATACATACTTGTTAAATGAGTAAATAGGAAAAGATACATATCCACAACCAGTACTTTGTTCTGTTTTGGATGAATGAATTACCTACTAAGCAATATGCCAAATAGCATGACCAATAATTTGGAAGTTTTAACCAAGTTAAGAATGAAAGCAGTTAATGAATACATTTCTAGCCAGATCACCTCTAATTCTTATTTAAGAATTTGAAAGTTGGAGAATTGCCTGATCTCTGTGGAATGATTTGTCATATCCTGGTATGTGATTATGCTTCCTTCACATTAGAAAAGTTTGTACAATCAAAAATCATGACTTTGAGGCACCTGTTTCACATTTGTTCACATTTGTTGAAGTAGGTAAATGATAATAATAATAATAATAATAATAATAATAATAATACTGAATGTCTGTGTACTTATTCAATTTTTTTTTTGAGACAGGATTATGCCTCAGCCTCTTGTGTGCTGGGATTTCAGGCGTTTGCCACTACACCTGGCTTATGAACTTTAAGTTTTGTCATGGAAATTATACAAGTTAACACATAAAATAATCAGCATAGTATCTGATATTATGCTTCCTCATGAGATAAGAATTACTGAATATATTCAAAATTAGTAGATTCTGAAAATGATATAAATACTATTATCTTGTTTTTATTGTTTACTTTCTTGATGTTGGATTTGCATTCATAGCAGACAGCTATTGTTTGACTCACACACATATCCCACATTTTCATGAATAATTTGATTGAGATACAAAGTATTTAGAATCTCTTCCACAGTTTTATTGTCATTAGCTTAAACTTCATTAATACTAACGAAGTTATAATTGACATACTCTAATTTTATATGTCTTTGAAATTCAGGGTTCAAAATTGCCATATTAAAGGCATGATATTTAAAAAATTCCAATTATATATACTTACATGTTTTATTGTTTTATGGATAATTTAGAATGAAAATTCTATTTTCCTCTGTCTAATGAACTAGTTCCTTCAGACTTTTATTTTATACAGTATATGTCTGCAACTCATAATGATTACATTCCTAATGGGGAGTTGGTTTTTAAGTTATTTATGAACTTTTATACATTAAACTGAGACTTCCCCTTTACAGAAGAATTAAACAGTCTGAAGTTGCTGAAAGAGCAGTGGTATGATACTTTGAATTATCTTGGAACCTTGTGACATAAAAGTTGATTATTTTAGGGCATTTTGTTGTGATTTATGTAATAAATTGGAAGGTTTTGTGTTTTTTGTTATTGTTGTTTAGGAAACTTTGGATTGAACCCAGGGCCTTGCACATGCTGGGCAAGCACCCTACTGCTGGGCCACAGGGCCACCCAGTAGGTGGTATCCTATTATATGATATGTTCTATTTTAAAAACCAGTTCTTTGCCTTTGAGGTAGTTTGGAAGTATATAGAAGAGTCTTTATTAGTAAGGCCATAAATAGAGTTGAATTATAGATTTCATCTCTTAAAGCAATTTTAGGAGGACATCTGGACCATTCTTGTACTTCTGATCAGGCACAGTTACATCTCTGTTCAGCTGAGTCCTGTGTCAGTGGCCCTGCTGAAGCTGCTTCAGAGACTAAGCCTCTAGCGCAGTGGTAGCAAACCTGTGGCATGCATGCCGCACAGGACTGCTTGTATCATTGAAAGCTCTTAAGAAGTTCGTTGTCACCGCTCTAGGGCATCAACTGTCCTGCCTTCCTTGGTTATTATCCAGATTTGGTCAGCATTAATTTATTGACTTTCCCTTTTTTGTTTGTTTGTTTTAATTTTCAAGTACAAAGTCATGCTTTGGAGGAGAAAATTTGAGCTGAGAAGGTCCCTTTAATTGGCTTAAAATGTTTATATTTAAAGTCCTAATTGCATAAAGGATTGGATATTTTCATTAACTAAAACTCCTTAAAATGATTCTTTTTTCACATAAGATTTCCCTATTGTTACTCTAAAAGCCTTACACAACTCTGCATGTTTGTTAGAAAAGTGACACAAAACAAGCAACTAGTTGAAAAACTAACTTGTTTTTTTTCTGTGTACATATAATTTAATTCTAAATATATACATGTTACACATAATTCAATCTGCAGTGTAGTCACTTTAAAACATTGTAGTTATGCAAGTGCCTGGATTTGCCACTGCCCTTAGTATTCAGAGATGCTGCAGTGCAGTCAAGCTTAACTAATTATCTAAAAAGCTAGTTACAAACAATTTCCTTTACCACACATTAATTATTCTTGGTCAGAGTGGAATATTTCCCAGTTTTAAGAGAAATTGCTTTATAAGATCTCATTGCTAGCCTTTATTGAAGTGATTCATTCTTATGAAAGGCTTAGTGTGGAGCTTGTCTTACCATGAAGTCTGGAGACTTGGGAACTCTTCTAGAAATAAAATTTCCCCTAACAAAGAGGCATTTTGCTAAATCTACCTACTTAACTTCAAATTCAAAGATGGAACTGAGATAAATTTGCTGTCCAGCCTGACATAAAGTGATGCTATGAATATAACCAAGGCTTTATGATTTCTGTTTCACTTTGAGAAGCTAAGTACATCTGTCCTTGAATGTGTTACTTTCTGGCTAACACTTAGATACTAGAAATAAGTAAAAGGATAAGTAATTCATGTGTAGTCCAAAACCTTTGATAGGGCTTTAAAATAGAGGATGTGTATATTCTCCCAGGAAGGAATCAGAGAATAATGAGGGCTAGTGAAGATAGGAAATTTGGAAACAGATTTAACTTTGCAAGTGCTAGATGCCCCAGAGTTGAGTAATGAGCAAACTGCGGCATACGACAGCTTGTGACTTGAGGGATAGAGATAGAAATGGTGGTGTTGGTGGTGGAATTAGCTGTGAAGTTTCTTCAAGCATATTGCTGATAAATGTACAAAGAGAGGACACAGTTTTTCAAGAACCAGCATCTGAAAAAGGTTTTCCTGTGCCAGGTAGCATTGACTTACTTAATTCTCAAAGCTCCACAGTTTGAATTATAAAACACTGGGTTGTATCACAAATTTAAATATGTTTCCAAAACTGAGTTATATTTATTATGTACTCAAACTGCTTCTGCCCCATCCTTAGGGTTCTCCCTCTCTGTAAACTATTCGCCATCTCTTCTGATTTATCAAGCCAGAAAGCAGGTATCATTCTTTGGTCTTTTTCTTTCCTTCCCTCCCATTTGTAGTACTGCATGAGGTTCTGCCAGTTACGCTTCAGAATGTATTCAGGTCTGTCTCTCTAGACTGAGTCATCATTATCCTTCACTAGTACCAACGGAGTTGCCAACCTGTGTCTTTCTCTGACACATTCTGTATTCAACAGATGCCATAAGGATCTATAAAGGTGAATTATTCTAGTTCCCTGCTTAAAACCATTAAATTGTATTATATTGCTGTTAGACTACAGTTGTTCTTTGATGTCTACAAGAGACTGGTTTGCAGGACACCCCACAGATAATAAAGTCCCAGGAGGCTCAAATCCCTTAACTAAAGCAATGTAGTGTTGGTACATAACCTACACACGTTCATTGTTATGCCACATATGCTTCTATATATCATCCTTAGATTACTAATAAAACCTAATTAATATGAGTGCTATAGAGATAGTGGTTTATTGTATCGTTTGGGAAATAATTAAAATTTAAAGTTGGACATATTCAGTACAGGTGTAATTTGTTTTTCTGAGTATGTAATGTACAGTTGTTTGAACCGACAGATTGGAGGGCTGACTATAACATGAATGTAATGTTCATGTGTCTACACATTCCTGTGTGATCTCCCCTTGACCACCTCCAGACTCTCATCTGGAGGTTCCTGGAAAGGGACCACCTCAGTGCCATCTGAGGGTTGTCCACTTGGGAGGTTCTGCCTCCTGGTTCTGTGTGGCTGGCAGCCTCTTAGGCACTTGTCAGCCGATGGATATCCATAGAGAAGCTTTGCCCAGCTGTCCCTTAAAATAGCTACTCCCCCAGGTTACTTAAAGTTTTCTTTTCTAGACATCTCCTGGTTTCTCTACAATATCTAGTTTTCCCCCATTCATCATTCACAAAAACTCAGAAAGCCTCCGAGACATAAAGCAGCATACATTTCTTTCAAGATTATTTTCCTTGTCTGTCTTGGGCCATGGAATCTCTGCTCCACATTATGCTCACTCAGAGTTCCAGATATGTCTCCCTTCAGCTGAAATATCTCTGACGATGGTGACAAGAGAAGGACACATGGCAAACTGCAGTGCCACAGAGGCTTCTACCGAGAAGTGACCTATGTTGTGTGCACTCATGTTGCACTGACTAAAGCAGATCACACAGCCATGCCCAGAAAAGCCTCCCAATCATGTGTCTATGTTAATGACCACTATGCTCCCACCAGAACATGTGAGATGTGTGCAAGGAGAGGAGGTCCTGCTTAATTAGCAAAGAATTCATATGCAACAGTGTGTCTCACTTATCCCACCTATAAAATGGGGTTGGGGACTAAATGAATTTTTACCTGTTATGTACTTAGCATAGTGACTGGCATAGGATCTCAGTAAATGTAAGGTGATGAAGATGATGATACCTTAAACACAAATAAATATATGATAAATTAGGCACAAAAATGTTAATTAATGCCCTTAGGAGGAAACAGATGTGGAATAGCATGCTACTCAGGATTTTGGTTAATAGATAATTAGTAGGTAGCTTAATATTACATGTGAGAACAAGCAGTAGAAGATGTTTTTGCATGAAGAAATCAAATATTACAGTGAGGTCTCACTATTGCTAAAATAGTGTATGCTTACACATATTCCCACAGGGTCGTTGTAAGCATGATTGCAGCTGTTTAAGAGGAAAAGCAAACCTGTGAATACAATTTTTATAACTTTGAAAAACTATTTATACCTAGCCCCGTGACTTCTAATTTAAAATATACGTAAGCACAGAGGACTCCTTGCAAAATGGGAACTCTTGCATATCTTTCCTTCTTGGTTTTTGGAGTTCACAGTCTGTACAGTATGGAGCTTGAATAATTGGGGTTAGCCTAATATTTTAATTTTTTGAGTGGGAGGAAGGAATAAATATGCAGTCTGTCTCACAAGACATAGAAGTATCTTTCCAAATAGAATATGTGTGTTCAAAATAATTCATAGCATTTACTTACTAAAAATGTTCACAGAGCCTTGAGCAACGTAACATAGCTCCTCCAGTTTTTATTGGTATCTAAAAGTATGAAATGCCAAAACATTGTACAACATCACCTCACAACAACACCTTCTCTGACAACATTATATAAAACTGAAGCTCTGTGCTTTTTGTTTTCTTGTTCAGTACTAGAGATTGAACCCAGGGTCTTGGGCTACTACACAGGTGCTCTACTCACTGAGCCCCAATCCCTGGCCCAGTTCCATGCTTTCTTTCCATTTTCTCCTTGACATTAGTCACCATCTGATTTAGTAGAGTGCTACCTCAGCTCATGAATTTAATTCTTTCCATGATCCGAGAACTCATCTCAGAACTCATTCTGTGATTTTTGTTGCAACCAAATTTTAAGCATACTTGTAGAGCAAATTCTGTGAACAGAATTGTGGAAGGCATTAAGTTTGTGAGCCAAAGGATCACTGTATAAAGTTTATTTTTGTGTCTCGTTCTAGAGGAATGTTCCAAAGTAGTGGGAACTTGCGTGTTTTGTACACTACTATTTCAGACCATCAAGAACAACATATTGAACAATAAATGTGTTGAAATTACTTACTGAGAATTTACCTAATATACAACATTGGTTATAACATAGGATATATATAAGGCATATAAACTATTTTCTTACCCTTATAATAACAAAATGATCATACTATTGCGGTGGAAAATTGAATGTCAAGATTTGGGCTATTGGTTGGAACTGAATGTCAAGTATTAAGTAAATGAGAAGATTATTATTGGCTTTAAAAGCACACATAGGCCCTTGGTTTAGATACGGTTTAATTCATTTTGCAAGTTTTATAGCATGCAATTTGGTAAGAAAGCTTATATCTAATTTTGCCTCATTTTGAATTAGACAGTTCTCATAAAAGTTCTAACACTCAAATATTCAAGCTCTACAGTGACAGAGTCCAAACTCCTCAAAGTCATCAGTTTCCTCAGGTTTCCTTCCAATCCAGTCTGAATGTGACATTTTAGCCTCGAGTCCAGTGGAAGAGCACTTCCTTTGGACAGATTTGTGGCTGTTTGTTCTGGCTAGGTTTCAAGTGACACTGGAGGAGCCCTTGCCTCCTCCTATCCTTGCGCTGAATGTGACTATGCCTAACACCTTACAATCAGTAAGGCCAAGATTCCTTTTTGTGTGAGTAGGGTCAAGGGGATGACAAATGACATACTTCCTATTAAATAGAGAACTTCTGGAAAAACCATATGTATGGATTAGTGGATAGTTGGGTGTTTAGCATTTAGAGAGTGTCTTGGTTACTTTTCTTTCATTGCTGGGACAGAACACTGATATCCAAAATGAAGGAAGGGAAGGTTTATTTACTTCACTGTGTGTAGAGGTTTCAGTGCATAATCAGCTGGCTCCAAAGAGGATGATGTGGCACTGGGCAACACTTCAAGGAAGCAGCCAGAGAAGAAGAGGGGAACAAGCCTTCTTCTCCTTTATATTGTACACAGGCCAATCCCTCCCCTGACTCCAGGGCCAGTGTAACACTGACAAAATCTCTGCCCTCCTCTTGCACAGAATGAGGATATTTACAAAACAAGAATCCTGGTTCCCTGCTGAGTCTCTTAGATAAACTAATACACTTCTCAAGTTGGCACAGTGTAGCCACCCTAACAGAGAGTAAGCCACTCAAGATACTAAGGGATATCTAGTGTTGGCATTTAATATTCGATTAGCTCTTTAAAACTTTGTGCTGTCATTGCTTGATTGCCTGTTCGTTTTTTATGCTTTGATTTTGTAACTTGAGCAACTATTTCTAAGATAGTAATGTGTAATATATTAACTAGGGTTGAATTCTTACTGTTGTTTTTGTTGAAATTCTGTATTATTTATTTTTTTCTGTTTTGCATTTTAAAAAAATTTAAAAAATAAAACCAAACATCAATTATTTAATATAATGGCAATGGTGGTGGTATAATGAGAGGACAGATGTAACATCATCACAGCAATTAAGTGGACTGCATATTTTTACTATCCTCATTTTATGTGTCGAAAGAACTACTGTACCATTTTCCTGATAACAGAGCTACTACATGGTAGAACCAGGCTTTAAACAGTTTTCTGATTTGAATTGTGTACTATTGCTATTGTTAATTATTCAAAGTAGAACAAGTGAGCTTTCTCTTGTGCTTTTTATGCTAGAGAATATTTATTAGACGTGAAACACGAGAGGACTCGAGGTATTATAGGTTTATCACATTAAACAGCAAAGGTAGTTGTCTATAGGAAACAGTTTGAAAATACGCTCTTACTGTTTTTTTAACATCGTATTGCCTTTTATCTTCCATAACAGCCTTTTATCTTCCATAACAAATTCTCCCAAATTGGAGCATAAGACGTCAGAGTGTGTAGCATCACTAGACAGTGACAGTGAGAAGGGGGAAAGAAACAGCAAACGTGTGTGTTTTAATGTGGCAGGAGATGAGCAGGAGGATTCAGGTCATGACACCATCAGCAACAGAGACTCTTACAGGTAATTCATTAGTTTTCTCAACCGCATTTTGTCAACAAAGTCAAATGTGATTCTGTATTTTCCTTAAAGATCTTGAAAAGTTTTTCAGTTGTTGGTTTTGTTTATTGTTCTTTCAAAATAATTATCTGTTATTACCCACATCAGACAAAGCAGAGTAGAACAGCATCATCTTTCAAATTCTTCCCTTTTATAATGAGTAGCTTGGAAAAGGTATCCCCCCCCCCATAGAGCTAACCTGGGAGATTTGTTCTTAGGCAGATGTACGACACGTAGAGCAGATAAGAAAATCCTTACCACTGCTTTACCAACACCATGTTCAGATTGTTGTTCCGTTGGATTGTTTTTGCTTTATGTCTCCATTTCTTTTTCTAGTTCGTGTTCCCTAGCTAATTGGGTTAATTTCATTTGCCCACTTCCCTGTCTTTGTGTTTGTTTCTTCTCTTGCTTGCCTTCTGTATTAGTTGCATATAGTTACTATAACAAAGCATCACAAACTGGATGGTACAGACAACAGAAATTGATTATCATAATTCTGGAGGCCAGAAATCTGATCCAATGGGTAGACAATATTGGTTACTTCTGAGAGCCTCAAGACTGTATCCCCAAATAAGTTCATATCTGAATGTGAGACCTCAACGTATGAAGGGGGTAGAGGGGTACATTCTTCACTCCAAACTGTTGTCATCTTCCCACTAGGCCCTCAGGTGAGCTCTCCTCTGCTGAATTTCTTTAATTAAAACTGCTTTTTCCCTCTTGAATCCTTGCATCACTGAAAGCTCATTGAGGAGTTTCCTGACCAGCCACAGACACAGTGTGTGCAGTGTCAGTGTTGCCTGTTTCATTTTAACTTAATCAAACGCAAAATTACCTTAGTCACTCATTTTCCATAGTATTTTACAATGAGATGATGTTGTATAAATATTAACTATGTTAACTCCAACAGAGATGTTTGTTACAAACTAACAGCATTAGAAATATTTTACTTGAGTGTTTTTAAGCATACACTCTACCATTAAAATATAGTTTTACATGAAAGGTGAGGGAGAAGGATGATTTCGAATAATCCCCACTACATGTGGATTTTGATAGTAATTTGATGCTACATACAAAGAAGTGGAGACATAGTTTACCTTTAGATCCAGGTGGTCTGGTTTCACAGTTTGTAACTGAGTCATTCTGGTATCCCAATTTCTGTTTCCAAGAAAGATTTTAACAAATACATAAAAGTTAATCATTCCTAGATATTTAATAATGTATCCCACAGATTAACTACCTTGACCATTTCATTTCCTTTTAGCATCTAAAGATAGCAGTGTGCTCTTTAATTGAAATCTATGGTTTTTCTCCAGTGGGAAATTATATGTCTAAAAATACTTTCTACTTCACGTTGTAATTAATCAGATAATTACAGTTACCCTCAGTTCCCCACCAGGCTAAGATAAAAATATTAAATTCAAATTTATAGTTAAGTCCTTTTTAGTTATTCTGAGGGTAAAAAATAATTTATCTCCTATGCCATTTCTAAAATAAGAATTATGTCCATATTCATACACAAATATTTTAAATATCTTTTCTTGGATATTCACCAGATTGAGCTCTTACCTGTGCAGAGGTCTCAGGTGGGGTGGACAAGGTAGCTCCCTAAGGGAGCCCAGAATGGAACCAGTGTTACAATTTAAGCTACTAGAAAGAGTGGGAATAGAAACACCGTCTCTATTAGAAAACTGTTTATTGTCATGAAAAACGTTGTTTGATATGAATCCTAGTTTTATAATCACCCTTTTAAAATAATCACTTATAAATAAATTACAGAAGAACATTTGGAATGATTGAGTTTAAAATAATACATTTTTAAAAATGAGATAACCTGAGTTTGTCTGCCTCAGAATTTTCTATGAAACATATTAATAAGTAGAGCTTGGACTTAGACACACAGAATAAGAAAGAACAGGGGTCTTGGGTAAATTCCTTCCTCAAGTAACGTACAGTGTGTTCTTTCCAGCGACTGTAACAGCAACCGGAACTCCATCGCCTCCTTCACCAGCATCTGCAGCAGCCAGTGCAGCTCGTATTTCCACAGCGATGAAATGGACTCGGGTGCGTGGGGTGGCGGCTTACGCACCTTTTGACGTTGTTCCAAGCAGAGATACCATTAGAGGATTATTCCTTTGATCTGTGTGTACTCCTACCTTTTATCACTTTTGGTGGACACACCTAGTACATCTCAGTGTAATGTGCCTGATGATGTCCATTTCCCAATCTCAATTATAAAGAGAATGAATTCGTAAGAAAGGAAAACTAATTTTTATCATATGTGTATTATAATCTTTCTGCGATATTCTGCAGAATTATAGGTATCAAGGAAGTAAATTTCGTTAAAAACATTCAGCACAGTGAAGTTTCAGACTGGATTTTTTTAAAGATAGCAGAGCAATCCTTATATATGGAAGAACGGAAAGAGAGTTTGGAGAAACACTGGTAATCTAAATAGTTTACAAATGTGTTTGCATGTAAAGCATAGTACATGTTAAATATGCAGCGTATGTTAATGGTTGAGCTGTTAGGGAACCCGACCGTTTGGAGGAATCCTTAGCATGGGGTAGCACAGTATTCTTGTGTGACATGGCTTTCAGCAGCTTAGACGCTATTCAACCTTCTGAAGTTCTTATTCTGAACATAGGAATTAGTATGAAATAAGGGCTTACGTTTATTTTATTTAACGTGAACCTTTTTGGAATGTTAACCATAACATGAAGTGAATAGTCTTTTGTTTTTTCATTTTGCATCTAGGTGATGAACTTCCCCTGAGCGTTCGCATTTCTCATGAGAAGCAGGACAAGATACATAGTTGCCTTGAGCATCTTTTCAGCCAGGTATGTGGGAGAAGTTGTGGATCTTATTTTCACCAACTAAACAGTCAGGAATTCCTTTTGCAGACACAACCAAAGAGCTTGATGGTAGAATGAAAAGGTCTCAAGTTGTGTATGGTTCCACCCTCTTATGTTTACAAGGAAAATAAAAATTCCTTTGGTCAATCAAACAACTCAAAGGATTGTTGCAAATGTCAACTGTTTTACCATCCTTGGAAAATTAAAAAGCATTATACACAAAGATAATTTTTATTATTTGGAGTTTTGTTGGAGGGACTTTCAGAATACTTTATAACCTTTCTTCCTCCACCCTAATTTCAAAAAGTACAAGATTGTCTTTGTGTTCATATTGGTGTTTTGGATGTTTAAAAAATAATCAAATTTGCAGTATAGAAATGTTTAACTGCTTTAAAAGGATCCTAGTAAGTTTTAGCTTAACTTATGAAATAGCTCCTAGTCTAGTCTTTCATTTCTTTCATCAGGTAAATTGATATTTTGTATTAGTGTATAATAAAGATCATCATTGTAAATGACAGGCAGGTAAGTTTATTACAATGTATTTAAATATAGATTTTGTGAGTATGGAGTTTCAAAAATAATTATTTCTTTAAACAAAAAGTATTTGATGAGATTTATTAAAAATGTGTATTGCATACTATGAAAAGTGTATAATTCTCATATATCTGCTGTTGATAGGTGGATTCAATTACCAATCTCCTAAAAGGCCAGGCTGTTGTAAGAGCCTTTGAGCAGACCAAGCATCTCACACCAGGTCGAGGATTACAAGGTAAGGTTTAAAAACACCAATTAAATAAATTAGGAAACAAAAAGTAATAGATAATAGTCAGGAAGCAAAATTATCACATAAGAAATTGATTGTTCATATTTCATAATTCACTATTACTTCTGTATTAATAATCTTTGAATATGTTAAAGAATTAGTAGCTGAGTGGTCCATGCCTATAATTCTGGCTGCTGGGAAGGAGAATTACAAGTTTGAAGTCAGGCTGTGCAACGTAGTATGAGACCTTACTTCAAAGTGAAATTACAAGGAAAAAAAGGTTGAGGTTGTAGCTCAAGGTTAGAGAGCCTGCTTAGCATATGTTAGGCCATGCATTCAATCTCTAACAGTAGGACACAAAAAAAATACAGGTTTTTATTATAGATCACTAGAAACCTTTTAGTTTTAGTTTTATTTGAGAGTTTAAAATGTCTAGTATGTACAATGGAGCGGACCCAACAAGTGTGTTAATTAAAGTTACATAAATGTTAAGTTCCTTTTACTAAAACTAAACATGATGCTTACTTATTTCCCCGGATGAGAAAAAAGAATAAACAAATGAACCAACAAACCCTACAAAATATGAATTTCCATACAGAATGGCCAAACAGAATAAGATACATAACTAATACTTTCTGACATCTACTTTAGGATATTTAGAGTGTTCCTATAAATTTGCTTCATTGTTGAAACATTTACTATTAAGATTTAGCTTTTAATTTAGCAAATTTTCTGCTGTAGTTTAGCTAAACATTTCCATCATAATATTATTTTAGTATGACAGTAAAAAAAGAAAATTCTAAAATCCATAGGCTTAACTGTTTGGGACTTGGCTGAGACTAAAGAGACATCATTCTGTTTTAATTCAGAGTTTCAACAAGAAATGGAACCAAAACTGAGTGGTCCGAAAAGATTAAGGCTTCACATCAAGCAAGATCCCTGGAATCTTCCCAGCAGCACCCGTGCTCTTGCTCAGAACATCAGAAAATTTGTTGAAGGTCAGTCTGAACAGCAAAGAACATTGTATAGTATCAGCAATAAGCATTTTAGACTCATTAAAACTAAAAGTCTGGTAATGCCTCATTTCTTTTTGCAGCGTTTCATTTTGCAAGGAAATAAAAGGAATGAAATAGGTGAGGGAGGAAGAGAGAAAGAAGTAGCATTGCAGAACCTTGTGTTCCAAGGATCAGAACATTGTAGAGAGCGTCGTGAACATTCTCAATGAATAAAATAAAGCTGATACCTAGGAAAACAAATGGAACACTGAGACTTTTAATATTTTTCTGATACAGAAGAGTCTCAAAGGATTCACAAAAGGCACGAATCCTAATGCTATGGGAAGTCTAAAATCAATTGTGAATCATTATGAGAATGAAAATAATTGCAGTTTCCAACATTAGCTTTTAAGTTTCTTTTTTGTAAGTCTTTGCCTCAGATGATTATCATCATGACATTGCTTACATGACACTCTATAATTGATGCAGCCTGTAAATTGGATACGTAAAACATGGAGACAACTCCACTTGGTCTGAATGCATGCTATTTGTGGTCAGAGTTATTAGTAGAAAACTCTGAGAGTATCCAGTGATTATGATATAAAATATGAAACGAGAAACTTGGCTAATTTAAAAATTGTCTCATTTAGCTATTCCGTATTCAGTGATCAGGCTAGCGATTGGCAATGTCTGGAAATATTTTAGTTGTCACAGTTCTGTGTGTGCCACTGACGTCTGCTGAGCAAAAACCAGGGGATGCTGCTGAACATTCTGTAATGTGATAGCAGTCATTCACAGCAAATAATTATTTGGCCCCCACTGTTGATGTTACTAAGGTTGAGAAACAAGAATGATAAATATGATGCTTTGTTTACATTTTTATTCTTCAGTCAGTTGTGTGATATTTGGGTATTAGCAACTCTAGTAACTATGTTTTTAGGGCCGAATAGAGAGCTACATACTACACTGAGCAAAGACAGTTCCTTGTATCTGATGGAGTCTGAATGAGTCACTCAAGTCTTTTATCCTCAGCTTCCTCGTTTATTAAAAAGGGAAGGTTCAAATTCCTATTTGATGATCCCTATTTGGTGATTACTACGTCTTTAGTATTTTAAAAATCCCCAAGAATAATGTTCAAGATATCATTTCAGATTGATAGAAAGAAAGATTGTATAAATATGGAACATTTTCCCAAACAAATCACAGCAGTTCTATTATGTGACGAAATCTTTTATCCTTCACAACTGGGTTTCTTGGCTGTCTTTTTACTTTATGGCTTAATATCGTGGTTACCTCTTGAGCTTTGTAACATTACATTTAGTGAAAATTCTGAATTATCCTCTTCCAGAATCACAGATATCAAAAATGATAAATTTAGTTTTAAAAGAGGTAAGTTTAGAGAATTGAAGCATATTCCTTACAAAGTATGAAAAGATAGGTATTCTTGAATAGATGCTAGTAGCATAATGCTCCCAGTGGCTGTAAACTATACAGTTGTTCTTATCATATTTTTTCTTGTTAATTGTGAAATAAATTAATTTGTTTTTAGACTAAATGTATCAATTTGGAATGGGCAAAATCATGAACTTTTTTTATCATATGTGAAGAACTTTATTTTTAAAATGTAAATTTCTGATTCAGGATAGAAAACAATATTTTAAAACATACTTAATTTAAGAACCTTACATTTTCAACTCAGGTCCTGGTTTTACACTCTTTGTACCTCAGATTGGAATTAGCAGCTGCCAGTGATAACTGTCCGTCCATACTGATTGGTATGGGTTGTGAATATTGGTGCCCCCTAGCTCAGGGGAGCCCAGCAGTTGATTGACTGTGGTTGAGTGTGGTGAGAGTATTATAACTGGGGGAGACATTTTTACTTGAGTACCTGCCATCAGCATTAGTAAACACACATTCAATTCTTTGTTCCATATAAAAATTAACAGTGTTTTCAAAATCGCTTATTTTTTTCAGCTATAGAGTTTCTCATTTTCTTTTTCTGCATTTTGTTCTAGTGTTCTAAAACATATCTCATTTTCTGCATTTTTCATTATGCTGCAGTAATAATGATGATTTTCTGGGTCATCTCCCTGTCTTCATTTTTTCTGATCCATATATGCCACTAATAGGTTAATCTTCCTAAAATATGTTCATGATTTCCGTACTCTGCCTCAGAACCTTGCAGTGCTTTCTGTTAATGTCTGGACTCATTATTCTGATGTTAGAAACTACTTTTCAGTAGTCTTTCTAATTGTGTCCCAACCTTAGCCTCTTGATGACATCATAAAATCAGTGCTACATCATTTAGTATTTGTTATTCATTCTCCAGTATATTCCTTTGCTAGTACTACGTCCCACTGTTACATTACGTACGCCTCCCCTAATACTCTACATTTTCAAATTTTTATGAAATGTTTTCTTGTCTTAAAAGTCTACCCCAGCTTCAGGTAGGCTTATATTGTAGTAACAATGCTTTTTAAAGATTTTTAATGTATATTCCCATTTATTTTTCCTACTCAGACCTATAAAGTTGCTAATATCAATGTTGACCTCATTTATGAATGAGCTAGTTGAGACTCAAAGCAATTTAGCAAATAAAGGTCACAAAGTAATAATGTAGCAGATTGGTTTTTCTCTTAGTTCACGATGCCTTCCCGGTTCTGAAAGATTGTTATTCGTACAGCCTCACTTGTAAAATATAATGTCCTTTGAAGTATTACCAGCATTTCTTGTCAGTTAATTTTTTCTCTCTCTTTTGTGAACCTGTCTAGACTAGGATGCAGCTTAAATATTTTTGCCTCTTATATTATCTATAATACTGGACTCACAGAAGAACATTTGTAAGTTTGTAAATTTACCTATTAAAAATGAACTCTACCATTTGGAAGCAAATGGATGTCTGGCTCATTGAACAGAGCAATGAGTGTAAAGTTAATATATTTATTAAATATTTTTGATTGGCTCTGTGTGAGATCAGATGGAAAAGAGAATGGAAAAAATATATTTATATTTATTTGACAGTTTATTGACATAGACTGCAATAGCTGTAGAGAACACCATACAGGCTGAACATCTAAAGATGACCTACAAAGTTAGTAATATTTAATGGTGTTTCATTATCTCATTTAATTCAGAAATGAAAGATGTTTTAGGGCTTAAGTATAGATACGATTTCTACACACAGGCAAGAGTAGTATGTCAAATAAACAGATTTTTATTACTCAGTATACTAACATCATTCTCATTTTTCACCCAATTAGAATGTGATATTGATTGCAGAAAAAGGGTAAAAAAATTAACTGAAGTGTTTCTTTTTCTTTTGTTGCAGAGGTAAAGTGTAGAATACTCCTGGCTCTTCTTGAATATTCAGGTAACATTTTGAAGCAAGCATGGCCTTGAATCTTTGAAGTCTAATAATATAAAGCTAATACCTTCAACTGTTCTCAAAGATAAATGGGTGTATATGATCTCTGCCTTTTCTAAAGGCTTGAAGATTTTAAAAACTACTTACATAGTTTTCACAAAAACTTAATATACATTCACTTTTGATTATTAGTAAAAATATGAAAATAAGCTGTTATAAACTTAGATAAAATTAATTGTGCAAATAAAACTTGCTGCAATATACTTAATTTTTTAATGAGTAAAAGTATAGGAAAAAAATTTGTAAATCTTAATCATATAATAGCATTTCTAATATGCAAAAATATTAGTGGAAAATTACACTAAAAAGTAATTAAATACTTGATCAAACACTATGTAATAGATGATAGGCTGTTAGCCTTTAAAGGCAGGAATGTACTTTCCCTTTTTTTGTCTTTCTTTCTTTCTCTCTCTCTTTCTTTCTTTCTTTCTTTCTTTCTTTCCTTCCTTCCTTCCTTCTTTCCTCCTTTCCTCCCTCCCTCCCTCCCTCCTTCCCTCCCTAACACAGGGTCTTTCTTTGTAGTGCAGGCTGGCCTCAAACTTGCTGTTACCCTCCCTCTTGCTTCAACCTCCTGAGTGCTGAAATTACAAGCATGTGCCACCATTCCTGGCTGTTTTGATCATCAAGAAATATCTAAAATAATAGTTTTCACAGTGTTCAACAAATATCTGTTGTAAGAATGAAATAAAATTGATTTCAGTGAAAAAGGAGAAAACTATGATGTATTTCAACAAGATCTTTTTGCAAGATGCATTTCAAAAGGATATGGATCATAAAATTGGGAAGACTTAAAAACATGCCATCCAGGAGGCTGGGGATTTAGCTCAGTGGCATAAGTGCCTGCCTTGCAAGCAGGCAGTTGTGAGTTCTGGTACCGATAAAAAGGAAAAAGACAAAAAACAAAACAAAACCATACCATCCAATAGGAGTGGATAATTTACTATTATGTAACTATGTATCTTTTTCATCTAGATTTAAAGACATATATATATATATATATATATATATATATGCATATTTTTACTGTAACCTGTTTGTCAAGTGTGTGTGTATAAATACAGAAATAAGCACATTATAGTTCCTTTATATTTTGCTAAGAGTCTGTAACTAAAAGTATAAGCTGAACAATAACCTGTTATATCAGTTAGCTTTTGTTATGTTTAAAAAGTGCTTCTAGTCTTTGTGTCTCAAAACAACAAGATTTTACGTTCCTCATGTGTCTAGTGTCAATCTGACTTGTTCTTACGTTAATACTGATTGGGTTTATCCATGTGTCTGCAGCCAGGTGCTAGGCACAGGTGACCTAGGGCGACCTCACTGACATGTGCAGTGATTGGATACTGATGATGGTTGAGGTACACGGCTGACTTGGGCTCAGGCCTATCGTCATCAGTGTGGCTAGCCTGGGCGTAGTCATGTGGTAGATTGAGTGCACACGAGCTCGTCAGCTTCTGTTGGCCAAGGTGTATGACTGGTAGAATTAAATGGAAGTTGATAAGGCCGGGACTCTGCTGTGTCTTGTGAAATGAGATCTCACTATGTTGTCTAGACTGGACTGCAGTTCTTCCTGCCTCAGCGTTCTAAGTATCTAAGTCTGTAGGTATATACCACTTGTCTGTCTTAGGATTCTGACTTTGATGGGAAGATTCTCAAACTTATATTGCAAGGATCTGCATAGAGACAGAAGAATGTATGAGTACTTTTACAATCTACTATACTTGGAAATTTTCAGTTATAAATGGATAAACAAGCCAAGTTAACCAAGAGGACTTTTTGGCTGGTTGGTTGGTTTTTGCTTTAATTAAACAAGTTTCTGCCTTGCTTTGTGCTCTATAGTAATGATAATAAAAGTCTCTCACCGTTTTTAAACTTTGCTAATAGTACACTTCAAAGAACCCATTTTCATGGCTTTCCTTGGGTTCTTACAAACCCTAGAGGAGAATATTGTTTTCACAGTTTAAAAGGTAAATAAGTCACTCTTCAGACAGATTAATAAGAGCTGGTGTTGTGGGTTGTGTCTTGATATTCCCCCCAAATCTCATGCAATCATAGAAGAGGTTTGTTTTGGAGGTGGCTGGATCTAAACTGTGTAAGGCTGGGATTAAGGTAACCTCACCCTGGATGTGAGTGCTACCTACCCTTAGGGTGTATAGCCTGGATAGAATACATTGGTGTGGGATCCAGGTCTTCAGCTGGATTCTTTGGGTCCCTAGTGCTGATTTTGACTTTTTAAAGGTGAATATTATAACATAATTCTATAAATTATGTCCTGTATTAAATCTATTCCTTTGTAAATCTTAGTTTTCTTTATTCATTAATATTTCAGTGTTCTGGCAAGTAGTTACTTTGCTTTTCTTTTCTTTTTTTTCCCTACCATGATTTTTTTCCTATTTCTTTGCTTATTTCTTTTCCCATTTATACCAAAGCAGTAACCAAGGTATCCGTGTATTTGGCTGTGCAGTTATGTTCTTCACTTGAAAAGGATATATTGTATTAGTATTAGTCACCTTTACGTTGCTGGACAAAATACCTGAGACCTACAATTTAACCTTGTGCACTTCACTGTTTAGGGGATTTAGTCCATGGTCTCTTGGCTGCATAGCACAAATCTCATGGTGGGTGCTGTAGCAGAACAAAGCTGCTCACTGTGTGGCTGCCAGGAAGCAGACAGGGAAAGTTGTCAGAGAGGAAGGGGGACAGGGACCTGATACAGACTCCGGTCATGTCCGTTGTCCACTCATACTGCCAGAAATGGACCTTATTTATCGCCTGGCAGCTCCCAAGCCAACCTCATTACCAAGCTTAATGAGACACTACTAAATACTGTGCATTTCTTCACCCCTTTCATTCATTTCTTCTTCTCAAATAACCTTTTGCTATTATTTGTTGTTCATTTTTCTTTCTTTTCCCCACAGTTTCCACATCAGAACAGTATCTAGGATTCATTGTATCTAGAAATTAAGTCACTCTCTTTTGACCAGTTAGCTAATTACAGTATTTGAACTTGTTAAAAAAGCTGAGAGGAAATGAAGTGTTAGTATTTTTAAATATATTTGTAGATGAAGTTTTAGGTGCTGAATTACTAAAATGAAACTGAAATCTTTGATAAGTACAAAAATGATTTATTTTTGCGTATATTCCCAGTGCAAGGCAAATCTTACTTTCTGAGAACAGCAAGCAAACTATCACAGAACCCCAGAACGCCTTGCTTTGCTTCTTTGCTAGAAGCTGGAGGCAGCCACTGTACTTCTTGCTGTAACCTTGATAAAAATAAAGAGTGAGAAGATTTTTAGAAAAAGGTGGACCCTGGTGAATTTTAAATGAGTTCGTAATTAAAAGGGAAAGACTGGATGTTTTTCTGTGAGTAAGCAGATTTTGGTTTCTTTATTTGTCGTGGTGTTCCTTCTCTGTTCAGCAGGAAAACTGAGCAGTCACTCACTCAGTGCCAGGAACTGCTAGAGGCTAGAAAAGAAGTATCACATGCTGTTATGGTTTAAATATAAAATTTCCCCCCAAAAGGTCACACGTTTGGAGGGCGACTGGATCATGGGGGCACTAGACTCAATAGTAGATTCATTCATTGATGAGTTCAGTAGCTGAATGTGCTATTAGGAAATGGAGCAAAGTTAGAGGTGAGTCACTGGGGTAATACCTGGAAATGTGTGTACTTGTTTCCAGTTCCTCCCTTTTCTCTTGGCTGTCTTTTTGCCATAGGTTAAGCCCATTTCTCTGTCATGCCCCTCTGCAAGCTCATTCTTGCCTTGGAGCCATGGACTGCAACAATGAACCAAAATAAGTTCTCCTCCATCAGGTTGTGTTAGGTGTTTTGTCCCAGGATGAGACAGTAAGATAATTGCTTTAAATGTTTTCTTTTAATCTCATTTGTCTTAATGGCACACCTAAAAAGTAGGAGTGAACCCCATTTTACAGGTGGGGGTCTGTTGCCTAATATGAGGTTTGTGATGGGGAGCTAAATGATGATCACATGACTGCACTGCCCCCGAGCGTAACTTGTAATTTATACTCTTCTCCTGGCTCTAGTGCGCAGATGGTCCCTTGCGGACCATAAATGCTTAAAGGAGCTCGCACAATACTATGTAATTATCTTCCTCCTTGAAGGATGCCCCACGTCTGTGGTGAGAGAAAGCAGTTTTTGGTACTTGCTGAGAGAAATAATTTCTCAAGGGCATGGGTAGAAATTCCATTACTTCAGTAAGCTTCAGTGGTTCAAGGAATGGACTATTGAACAATGGTTTAAAGTTTGCTAGATGGAGAGGGAAGGATAGGCCTGCTGACAGAACTCAGAAACAAATGTGGGTTGTCAGGGCATCTGATATTTCACTGCTGCTGAGCGGTGTGTAGTTTAGAGGGTAGGTGTGTGCATCCTTTGTTCCGGTTGCTTTCAGTTCTGTTTTCGTACTATATTCTCACTGCAATGAAGATTATTGCTGAATTGTGAGATGAGTGGAGGGAAGGGGTACACTGAGAAGCTGTAACACAAAGCAGGGATGTATATCCAAGACCTTGCTTATTCTACAGTTTTCTAGCTTTGTCGTTCACTACGAGATGTAACTTGTTAAAAGTTCTTGAAAAGCTCTTGAGATAGGTGTATGCTGAAGTCTGTGCACCAAGTCTTCAGCTGTATGTTGAAAATAGGGAAGTAGCAGCAGCATATCACCTCATGAAGTCTTGAGGCTTTATTGTCTTCCATTTAAAAATATGTTGGTTTAAAATTTAAATGAGAATGTGATCCAAGGCATCATGTGTATCTCTGTCACTTTATTGTGAGCAGTCATGCCTGAGTCTCCAATTTGGAATTCATTCATTAATTGATGTAAGCTTTTTAGTGTCCATGGACATTCATTGCTAAAACTTTGAATTAATGAATGAATGTAACTTTTATGTGGCAGTTGTATTTATCAATAGGTTTTGTGCAGTGGAAACACTGGTGAATATTTTGATTTGTTAATGAGAATGAATGAAAATCTCAGTTTTAATGCATGCAGAATATATACAGTAGTACAGAGTAGATTAAACATCTATTTTTTTTTTGAACTGCCTTGGTATTTGATTTTTTTTATATCTATTTTTTTAGAATAAAAAAGGAAAAAATTCAGATTTCATATCTAAAGCATTGCAGCCAGAATTATTTTTACAAGTAGCAAGGTGATGGACTCTTGTAATCTCTTCTGAAGCTTGAAGTAGAACCAAAGCCTTGCCTCTCTGTGCTTTTGTTTCTCATTCTTAATATCGTTAGTTTTTTTCAAATTAGACTTTATGAAGTTATTCTTGAGTTATAAGTGGGTGTATTCATCCTGAAGCCCCTGAAGTATTTTTAAAATTTCACCCAGGTTGACTATAAGATAACTGAAAAACAAAGTAAAAATATAACAGGAAGTTTAAAACAACTTTTTAAAATTTAGTTTCTGTCTCAATACTTCATCTCTACACGGGAGCCTAACCTATCTGAAGCACCCTCTTAAGTCAAGCTAAATGCAAAGATCATAAGAAGCCTGAGAATGCTGTCATACATTTATTCACAATGCATTTTTAGCTCTGCTAGCCTATTAATTTTGTTCGTTTGTGAAACGATATAGAATTTATATTCTCTGTTATAAATTTTTTCTTGAGAAAAGTTTATTACAAGTTTAGAGGTTTTAGTGTTTCCTGTGTAACACTCTTTCCTGTCTAGTAAGTAGCACAGGACACATGGCAAAGAACTGCTTAAGAGAAAAGTCTTAGCGTATTACTTTAGTTGAACTGTTTAGTTCATCATTTGGACCTACCAAAGCAGCAAGTTCATATTGCTCAACCTAACAAATAAAGATTTTCTATATTAAATTAAATATCTTAATGCATACTATACTTTCCAATAAAATTTTTGAGAGAAGCTCTACTAACAGTGAAACTGATGCACAGCAACTATGTGATGTATACATGTTTTTGAAGGCCACTGAAAACAGATGTTCAGTGTTTGTAGTAAACATAATAAAAACTATGTATTATGGTCGATAAATCGAAGTATTCAACCCAGAAAAAGTAACATTTATCTCCATTTTTCGTTAATATTGACAGTGTTTTTTTCTAGAGGATACTAAAACCTTTAAAATATTGAACTACTTTTCAAACATGATTGTTTTTCTTATATGTTGTTCTTCTAGTGCACATGATTTTTAGTGTGCAGAATGTGTGGCCTAGTATTCATGCATTTTATGCAATTTGTACACATCCAGCCACTGACAGAAGTTAACACAGCATGTAAGTTTCTTTTTATTTGAAAAAAACTGTCTCAGAAATGGTAGCTCACAAGGCAAACACATCTTCAAAGTGAGTCTATTAAAACTCCAACTAACTGCTGGATGAGACTTTTAGTAAATACTTAAAAATCAATATGTACTAAAACTATGAATCCATTACTTATGTCAAAGCACTCATCAGAATTCAAATTCCTATAAATTTGATGTATTAATTGCTCATTAATTCAGATGTCTCAATTTGGGAGACATAGAATGGCTAATTATTATAAACAACTGAACAGCATACTCTTTCTTCCTGTGCATTTCACATCAATATTTGGATCGGTTTAGTAGATACTTTTTAAAAGTGTTAGTGATACTGACTTTCATTTGTTAGCACAAACTGACTCAACTAGAATTTGAGGCAGTGTAGCAAATACAAATTGTATCTCATCAGTAAAGAAAATATACATAAGTGAAGTGTTATTTCTCTCATTTTTATAAAGCAATCTAATGATTACAAATGAGAGTTAAATTATGAATTAAGAAAAAAATTATAGTATTCCTAAATTTTTTGGTGTTCAATGTTTGCTAGAATGTATAATTACTAAAATATGTGTGCTCCTTAATATGCTATATTTTTCACATGGCATGGATTGAGGGAAAGATGAAATTGCAGTGAATGTAAATGCTTAGCAGATGGTTGTGACACTGTTCAAAGCTGTGATGTTCTTACTTATCACAGACAGTGAAACGCAGCTCCGGAGAGACATGGTTTTCTGTCAGAGTCTCGTGGCCACCGTCTGTGCATTCTCTGAACAGCTCATGGCTGCCTTGAACCAGATGTTTGATAACAGCAAGGAAAATGAGATGGAAACGTGGGAAGCCAGCAGAAGGTGGCTTGACCAGATAGCGAATGCTGGTGTTCTTTTTCACTTTCAGTCACTTCTGTCACCAAACTTGGTAAGGAATCACATGACTCCCAGTGTCTGCATCAACTGTAACTTACATCGTTACATGCTGCCAAAATGAAATAGTTGGGCTTTTCCCCCTCATGCTTTCCTTAATTATTGTTACTGTACGTGTTAACTATTTGAGAGAATGTATTTTTCCATGGTCTTTCAAGTTTTAATAATTACATAGAATTTGTTCCTTCTTCCCTGGTTTTTATTTCTCTGTGGCTGCTAAAAGCTGAGATAGCCCCACCTGTCACTATTTCTTGTAGCACTAAGCTCTGACTGAACAAAGTCATCAGAAGAAAGAGGGTCTCTTTGTTGCTATTCTTTTGTGGGATCCAGAAGAAGCAGCCTTCCCTAAAACCCTGCTCCTGATAGGTTGATAATCTGGATAATACTTGACAGATGAGTTCAGACAGCTCCCATACTGTACTGTCTAACAGTCTGCTTGAAATTTGCATGTGTTAAATAATTTTTAGTTCTTTCCTTTATGTGCATGTTTGTTCTGTTGCATCTAAGAGTACTGTACTAAGTAAAATATGCCATGTTTATGTATCTAGAATGCATATGAAGAGAACATTTTAAAATATTTGAAAATGAAACTATGGTGAATTTATAGTTTTTCACAAACAATTTCTGTGGCTGTGATATGCTTCATGATATGTAAAGTTACAGTTGTTCACTTTTACATAGAAGTTTTAGGTGCTCATTAAACAGAACTAATAGAAATCTGACTAAATGTAAGCTATTTCATTTGTTAAAGTATACTTAGAAAATAGAGCTACTAAGTAGTGCAGCTGAGATGTTAAACAAGTACATATGTATATATATAACAAATACATATTTGTTTACATATATTATATATAATTTTATATCTAAATAATAGTTTTGTCCACTGATGTTTAGGGTAGAGAGATGATTTCTGCACTGCCTTATAGCTTGAGAACATTCTGGAATGATTAGTTAAGGAAGTCAATCTCAGTGTACTTTAAAGAAATAGAAGTTGATTCTTTAAGGAAAAAAAAAACTATGTACACCATAATTGTGTGTGATCAATTCATTTGTTTAGTTTGAAAGAAGGAATTTTCAGAAGTATTATCAAATGTAAATTATATCTCATTAGGGAGCCCACTTCTCAACAATATGGTAAGCCTTACTTATTTCTTGAACGAGTAGGTAAATAAATGAGGCTTTACTTTAAAACTGCTGTGGTCTAATCAAGTGCTACTACTTTTACTTTAAACTTGATTTTATTTGCATTCTTAGACATAAAAGAAAATATTGACAATATATGAAGCATCCTTAAAACCCAACAGTAGACAAATGCCCCAATTTAAAGTTAACAAAGGATTTCAGTCGGTATTTTTTCAGAGAAGACAAAAAATGGCCAATAAGCCATAAAAAGATGATGAATATCATTAGCCGTTAGAGAACTGTAACTTAAAGAAAGGCTGCAGTGCATGTCATATGGATGGCTACAATCCAAAAGAGAGGTAATGACAAGTGTTGCTGAGGACCTGGGGAAATTATAAAAAATTATAAGCCTCATAAGTTAGTTACAGGAAGATAAATCATTGCAACCATTTTGGAAAAGTTTAACACTTCATCAAAATGTTAAATACAGCATTTCCATGTAACTAAGAAATTCTACTCTAACAGAAATAAAAGCTTATATTGCTTTAAAATATCCAAAGGTTATCAAAAAACAAAATTAATCAAAGGTGTATATGGTCAGTTTGCCTCTATATTAAGAATATAAAACCTACCTGGGAATGTAAATGACTCTCTGGGACTGTAGCCACTGGCGTCTGGGTGTCCCTGAGCTCTGGGCACATCTGGTTGTCATATAAGTATGCCTTTGTCCATGACTACTGGGCAAACATGACTTGTTCTGTAATACTCAGAGGCCAGAATGTTTGAAATGTTTTTTCCTATGTAGGATTCTTCTCAATCAGAAAAACACTGATTCTTCAGTCATGTTACTCCCTTTTAGCTTCAAGACATTCTGGTGTTTAAAAAGGATTTTTAGAAATAACAGTATAATAAACATTTATACAGCACTTATCATATACCATGCGCTATATTAAGCTCCATGCCAAGGTACAAAGGGGACAGACAGCTCAACCTATTTGTTTCCATGCTGTGTCCTGCTGTGATGTCCAGGGCTGTGTTACTATTTCTTTTTCACATAATGAAAATTCTTCACACTTCCTAAAGACTATTTACACTATCCTTAAGTATAGTAAAAATTTAGAGCAACTTGTTACATATATGATGCATGTTGAATTTAAAAAAATGAAATAAATTCTATCTTTAATAGGTAAACTATGTGTGGTAACCTTAATTCTACTTTCTTTATGAGACTGATAAAGGATACTTAGGAAAATGCATTAAAATGCTGATAGAAAGGCCAGATTCTTGTAGCAGAAAAGATGATATTGCATGAATTTGTTCCTACCTCTGAGCCGTACCCGTCACATCTGGACAGACATGTGTTGTAAGAAAGTAACAAATGGCTAAAATAAACTGCTTCCCATATTTACCAGATTTTAAGTGAGGTGAAAATCATTCTTGCCACCAAGGTCTTCAGAAGACCAATACATATGTACATGGAAATTGCATTTATCACAGTTCTGATAGTGGGCAAACTGAACAGTAAATAAATGATCTTTTGTATAATAGGATACCTGTTACGAAATATGTTTTATGTGTTTATAGATTTTTTTCAGCCTCAGACAATAAAGTGTAGTATAACTTTGTTATTAATATTTCATACCTACTTATTTTTTTATGGCTGTTACTTTCATGAGATTTCAGAAATTAATAGCTTTTTTAGATTTGTTTCCAAGTGAAGTCACCATAATTATAATCTAACTGTACAACAGTGACAAAATGGTATGTATGAACACCTAAAAATACAGAAAAGGGAATATATAAAATTAAAAGCTATGTAATTTTTAAGAATCGTTAATTTTACACAGGAAATTCCTTGGGGTTTGTTGATACTGTTGTTTTGTATGTACATGTCATAATTTATTGCAGATTCACATAATATTTTGACACTTTATAACATAATATGCTATATTTTATTTTTCCTTCTTTGTAGACAGATGAACAAGCCATGCTAGAAGATACACTGGTTGCACTATTTGATTTGGAAAAGGTTTCCTTTTACTTTAAACCATCAGAAAAGGAACCACTTGTTGCAAGTGAGTAATTTATGTGTTACAGAATTTTTCAGCATCACATAATAAAATGTGGTATAACTTTGATATAAATAATTTATACCTCATAACTTACAAATTGAAAGACCAGAAAGTAACCTTTTCACTTAATTTTCCACTTCTAAACCTGACCTAGAGAGCATTAGAACTTTCACATTCAGAGTAGTGCTACCTACAGTTCAGTATCATGTTTTATAGTTCTTTAAGTTATTCATCTACTAGTTTAGTATTTTCATAAATACTCTTAAAATGATTTCTGTCAATAGAAAAAAATTTTCAGGAGTTTTCTGTTATTTTTATATGTCACTCATTTTTCATACGTGTGAGAATCCTGTGATGGTGGTAGAAGGCAGAAGTTTCCTCTTGGCTGGGAGAGGGGACTTTTCATCTTTCCAGTGTCTAGCAGCATACATGTACTGTATACTATAACCCATGCTCTGAAGGTGATCATGGTATAATTTGTTCATCAAAAATTTCTTGAATGCTACTTCTTGCCAAGACTGTTTTAGTTTGTCAGCATCAAAAGAGAACTCTATGGACTGGAATTTCTCATGGAGCTTACATTTAAGTGGGGAGAGGAAATAGTAAGTCAGATGAATAAGTGAATTTTATAGTAAATTAGAAAGTACTAATGAAAGAGACTGTAACCTAAAGATGAAAGGGCAAGTGAGAGGTTGGACATAACAGGGCAGGGAGGGAAGCCTCACTAGGGAGCCCAGATCACAGAAGGGACTAAGGGAGCGACTCATGCAGATATTGGAGGAGGTGCCCTGGATTCTTTGGACTCCAAGGTAGGAAGACATGTGGCATTCTCTCAGGCAACAAGCAGGTCTACTTGGCTATATTAGACCAAGTGGAGAAGACAAGGGCAAAGTCAAGGTCAGACTGTGCAGGACTTGCTGGCCCAGGCGAGCACTATGCTTTCCTACCCAAGCCATTGAGAAGATTAACAGGGGAGTCTACCTTGTGTGCTAGAAGGCTGTATCTGGCTGCTGTGTTGAATACACCATTCAAGGGCCAAAAACAGAGGCCTGGAAACCAGGTGGAAAGCCCCAGAGTGACCTGGGTCAGAGATCATAGTGACTTTGTCTTAAGGATAGCTGTGAAGATTGTTTTTTAAAAAGTCTATGCATTTTCTATTAATTTACACAAGGAAAGAGAACAGGATTTTATTAAAACTTTGTTTTCTGTAGGGAACAAGAAAGAGAACAAGAACATGAGGTACAGAGATAGAAATATGGACTCTTGTTTGTTTGTTTTGGTACAGGGGATCAAACTCACAACCTCATGCTTGCCAGGGAGGCACTTATGCCGCTGAGCTAAATCCCCAGCCAGAAATATAGGTTATATTCAAGATAGATTTTATTTTCCTGGCAGTGGTATTATTTGATCAGTATAATATTTGAAAAAATTATGTGATCTTCTTTGTCTACAGATAGAATAAGATGTATTTTCATTTACTTGAATAGTGTAGGCACGGTTTTGTTGAAGGCAGGGAAAACACTATTTTGTGATAAAACTTAATATATTTTTAAAGTTTCACCTGGGAAAATATAGGCTCACAGGAGATCTCTTTCCCATGGTTCCAATGCAATATTTTGGCAAATGATCTGTAGAACAAGTAGAGCCAAAATTAAGCTTTGTAATATATTTCCTTATTATCTATCCACTCTAAGAAATTTCACTGGCACATTGGAACCTAAACTAAATATAAAGGTAACTGAGATCATGTAAGTAATGTTAGTATGCAAATGTAACCATGCATGTAACAAATACACATTGGGATATGCATATGGCAGTATATTTTTGGGTATTTCTTCAAGGCATAGCTTTGACTTCTGAAAATAGTGAAGCAGCAGTTTCAATGCTTTATAATTACATATTCTGGCAAATTAAAAACAGTAATGATAGGAATGTAGCTCTCACTTTAAGATGCTCAGGAAAGAAGAGAATTACATAGTTACTCAGGGTCATCATGTCTTAAATGCTATAAGAAAACTGGAGCTTTATTATTCATTGTGAGTAATTTCATCTTTCTGTATGTGTAGAAGCAGGAAAATCAGATTAGCTAATGAATTCTGCACCAGTGGAATGAGACTGGTTACCTGTCGGTCTATGAAGCAAGGTCTGAGCACAAAGGACTTGAAGTATGTGGTGTATATTAGTTAGCATTTTGTTACTGGGACCCAGGAACTGATAGGCACCATTTAAAAGAGAAGAGCTTTATTTTGTTTCATGTGTCAAGCGATTCAACCCATGGTCATCTGGCTTCAAGGCAAAAACATCAGGGCCCCAGAGCATGGTAGAGCCAGGAAGCCTATCTCGAGGTAGCCAGGAAGCACAGCAAGGAGCAGCAGCTCGACACACCAGGAAGTGTGCCAGCCAACCTCCTTGGTTATCACTAGTGTAAAGAGATCACTGACCTCAAGGTACCAGAGTTCAATTTCAGACCACATTCTCAGCTGTAAGCTCAGTGTTGCATGAATTATATAAGATAATACATTGGAAATTCTCTAACATTATGTGTGGCTCATTGTAGCATTTAGTGTTAGGGTAAACTGGGGCACAGTTGAGACCCCCGAGACAAGCAAAGTTTAAGCAATATGCAAGGGATTATTGCAGACTGACTGCAGTCAAGCCAAAAGTGAAAAGACCATTGGCCCCCAGCAAGGGGCAAGAGCATGTTTTATAGGGGAGTTTAGGTTTGCAAGGGGGACCTTACTGAAGGGGGTGCAAAATTTTGGATCTTTGAGTAGGGAGCCGGGGGCTGGCTGATAGGGCAGTATTGGGTATGGTGGAGGTGGTGTAGCAGGCACAGCATGTCTCTTGTGTTTTTTCAAGGAATCAGCTCTCTGCAGGTGGAGCTGGGCAGGGCAGCTACTAGTTGGTGGAGCTGTGTGGGGAAGCTGGTAGATTCTTATTACCACTGTGCACTCATAGCAGTAAGATCTGCTTGGGGAGTTTCTGTCTCCTATCTGTGTGGGAATCTGGTTCAGAGATCTGTCACTTAATAAATGTTTGTGTCCCTACTCCTTACTTTATTACTTTACATTCTTTTTAGTAACCTGTATTAATAGTATTTCCCATAGTCTTATTTTTGCAGTAAACAATCAAGATATTCTGGACAATTATGGTTTGTCGAGAACACTGAACTTAATTGTCTGAATTGAAGACATTACATTTTTACTAAAGAAATAATTGTTAAATATTTGTAGCACACTAAGTGCTGAGATAAATTCTAGGAACATTATGGTATGTATATAAAATAAATTCCCTGTTAGTATGAAGCTTAGATTGTAGAGAAAGATATTAAAGAGTAAGTGGCCAATTTGACTACTTTTCTGATATGAAAGTTACAGAGAACATTCTATGTCCCATTGTATAGTGAAAAAGGAGTAAATTGTCTAAATGATTAGACTGTGTAGAATAAATTTATTTTGTGGAAAATATTTTTTAGAGAATCCTGTGACAGTAGATCTTGTCCTTTTCAGTGGTGACACTGGTAGTTTTATAATTATTAGAAGAATATATATATATTTGTGTCCCCAGCATTTCTTAAGCATAGTGCCTAAACAGTGAATGGCAACATGGATGAGACCAATAGGGGCTGACAACTTAAATGGAGACAACAATAAGAAATTAAGTACTATAAAGGTAGTTGGGGCATGATAGATCCTATGAAGCATGTGAGCAGATGCATGAAGAAAAAGAGTGATGTGGCCACTTAAGGGGTGTCCAGAGAAGGCTCTTTGTGGAAATAGCTTTTAAGCTAAGATGTGAACTACAGATAAGCTCAACCAGACCCCAACCTGTGAACCTCACTTCAGACAGAGGCCACACTCATTGGCCTCATTCTGTAGCCAGCTGCCATGTTGGAGGAACTGGAAGGTACCACTGAAACTCCTATCTAGGGTGAATCCTCTAGTTAGAAAACTTTTCCCAACTTGACCTGCAGCTTTAATATAAAATTACAATCAAAATTCCAGATTATTTCATGGATGTCAACAAAATGATTCTAAAGTTTACATGGAGAAAGAAAAGCCAGAATAAAGCTAGACATGAGGCTCAGCTGTAGAGAGAGTACTTACAAGGCCTAGGTTCAGTCCCAAGTACTGCTGCCAGAGAGCTTTTCCTCGAAGAATAATGGTTCTGAAGCATTTAATCTTTGTACAGTTATAATCAACTTTATTGTTCTTAGCAGATAAATTTCCACGAGAGAAAGGCAACGTTTTCAACTTCATTATTATTATGCACATTTTCAAAAAGCTTTTACATTTTTCATGTTGTTGAGAGTCCTTTGTACAATTTAGATGACTATTTTATTAGATGTGTCATTTGCAGGCATTTCCTCTGAATCTGTTGTTTGTTTTCTCAGTCTATTGACATAATCCTTCACAGGGCTGAAGTTTTAAATTTTAATGAAGTCCTGCTAATTAATTCTTTTTTGCTGGTTGCATTCTTAGTGTTATTTCTAGAAAGTCATTACCACATTCAAAGTCATACAGGTTTCTCCTGTTATCTTGTAGGATTTAAAAAACTTTCACATTAAAAGCGACTATCAGGTGTTCCAGCACCATTTGTTGAAGAGCCTACCTTTGCTGCACTGTGTGCCTTTACTTCTGTATCAGAAATATATTCATGAGGGTCAGCTTCTGGGTTTCATTTTTTATCTGTCTATATTTTGTACCATATCACACGTTCTGGGTACTACAGCTTTTTACAGTAATCCTTGAAGGTAATGTCTGCCCTCCAATTTTTTTTTCCCTAGTATTAAGTTGGCCATATTGGCTAGGTCTTCCTTTCCTTCCTCCCTTACTTTTCCCTTCCTTTCCTCTCTTTCCTTCTCCTCCATTCCCTTTTCTCTTTGTGCGGTACTTGTACATGCTAGGTAAGTACTCTACTGCTGAGCCTCATCCCAAGCTTTATTCTGGCTTTTCTCTCTCCATGTAAACTTTAGAATCATTTTGTTTACATCATGAAATAATTTGGAATTTTGATGGAATTTTATGTTAAAGCTGCAGGTCAAGTTGGGAAAAGTTTTCTAACTAGAGAATTCATCCTAGAGAGGAGGGTATCTCAATAGTATTGAATATAGGGTAGTTCTTCATTTATTTTGATATTTTTAATCGGAAATGTATAACTTTTAAAATACACAAGTATTTCATTTTTATATAGGGAGCTTAAATAAATGTACTGTGTTTTTCTTATTGTAAAAGCTAAGATTTCCAGCATGGTGTTGAAAGAAGACATCTTGCACCTTCCTGATTTTAGTGGGAAGGCTGACTTCTCATCATTACATATGATGTTACTGGAGGTTTTGTAGATACTCTTTATCAAACTGAGAAAGCCCTCTTTTACTTGTTTACTGAGTATTTTATTACCATTAAGTGCTAGATTTTGTCAAATTTTTTCTGTATTGTTGTGATCATGGAATTTTTCTTTAGTTTCATTTTGGTGGATTACACTAATTGATTTTCAGATACTGAGCCAGCCTTGCTTGCATACTTGGGATAAATTCCATTTGATCTGGACTTCTTAATACATTATTAGATTGGGTTTGTTAAATGTTTTTGAAAAAAATTTTTACATATATTCATTGTTATGCACTTTTACGGGTACAGCATGTACTTTGAGGCAAATAACTTGCATTCTTTAACATAGTACTCATAGTGATCAACACTTTAAAATATATACTTGCTAGTTTTTAAGTAAGCTTTAGCTGTTGTGTTCTTAGTATACCTTCATTTCTTCTATGTTAGTCCCGTGAGACTCCACCTCCTATATTACTGTGTTTCTTTCTATAGCATTAATCCTTTGTTAAAATTGATTACCTTGATAGTAAAGAGTAAGAGTGTGGAATTTGTGTTACTTAGCTTTTCCTTATTTCAACAAATACCAGAGGTAAACAATTTAAAAGGAGAAAATAATTATTTTGACCCCTGATTAAGAGATTTCACTCCATGGTTAAGCTCCCTGTTGGCTTTGGGCCTGTGACAGAAAGTATATCAGAGCAACGATCACATGGTAGAGGAAGCTGCTGGCCTCATGGTGGCTGGGAAGCAGAGAGGGAGAGGAGAGAATCAGATTCCAGGGTCCTCTTCAAGGGTGACCTTACTCCAGTGACCTTACTTCCTCCAGATAGGCCCTCTCCTCATGGTCCCACCGCCTTCCAGGAGTACCTTAGGGTGGTGACCACGCCATAGGCCTTTGGAGTCATGTAACATTCGAACTGTAACAGAACTTAACAAAAAATTAAAATATGTATTATGACAGGTTGAAAAGAACAAGATGCAAATACTTAGTATGTGTGAATCTATCATTTCTACAGTTTCCATGCATCTTTTTCAATTTAGAAAACAAAAAAAGGATTTGCCAGATCATGAAGATTCAATTAATATTTAATCCTTTGACTAAGAAACTTGCTTTTGCTCTTTCTTAAATTAATCTCTTCATATTTTCCATTTCAAAAATACAGTACCAAAAAACATTATTTCATGTAAAAAAGAGATTTATAAGTGTTAATACAATATCTTCATTATTGATATGCAGAATTTCATACATATTTGATCTGTGTATATTTATATAAATGAAAATGTGTATATTATATATATATTTTTTTTTAATCTATACATTTGGAACCTAAAATCTATGATCCTTAAATGATACTTGACCTTGAACACTAGTTTTATCAGTTTATTTCTAGATATAGAAGTAATAAATATTAAACTAAGATTTGTATTAAATTCTAACTGTGTTTTATCCTTAATTTTTATCTAGTTAGGGTGACTATTTTAGCTTTTTAGGAAAATTTTTCATTCTTTTGTAAAGGGGTAGAAATATTTACCATAGCTATGTATCATAAAAGGGAATGGATTTGGGATATCATTGTGAAATACTTCTACAATACAGTATTTCACCTTTTCAAATATTTGATTTTTTAAGTAATTAAACTTGGCATCTTTGAAAATTGCTACATGACTTTGGACAGGTAATTTCTAATGACTGTAGGGCATCAACAGAGGGTGATTCATTTTTGATTTGGTGCTCAGGGAATGGAGTATACAAAGCCCATGCTAATTTTGTTACTGTTTGCTGTGTATTTAATTTCTTGTGTATTACTTAAGAAGTGTACCCCAAGGCCTCATTTTGTCTAAAATATGAACAAGGCAGCTACCCTAGGATATTCTGAATCCAAGCCATGTGTAGCTGAACTCATTTTGTTAAGGGAGGCATCTGGTATGTCCAAGTATAACTATGTTTCCTATTACAGAATTTCGTGTGCAGTACAGTAATAAATCTGTTGCTTTAGCTAATGAGAACCTGATTTAATGTTCTTTCACTGAATAGCACTTTATGTATACCTGAACGTGATACACATGAGCACTTTAAATATATAATTTTCTAGGAATTTTCAGGATTCTTTGTAAAGACTGAAAGACTACCTTAGATAATCTATACATGTACAGTGTATGACATCCTGATTTCAGAGAGTAATGAAACCTTTAATGTCATTTTAGATGTGCCTCTTACGTACCAAGCAGAAGGAACCCGGCAAGCTCTAAAAATTTACTTCTACATTGATAGTTATCATTTTGATCAACTGCCTCAGCGGTTGAAAAATGGAGGAGGGTTTAAAATTCATCCTGTTCTTTTTGCACAAGGTAAACTTTTCCTTTCTATACTTCAAATACTCAAAATTTTAAACACAGAATTTTAACAATCAAGTGTTTTTTGTTAATTGGAAGATTCTCTTTGGCTTTTAGGGAATATATTTTGTTCTGAGGATATGTAGTAAGGAAAGAATGACCTATGATTTAAATATTTATCTAACAGGCTTATAGCATTATTTATAAGGGTGAAATATGATATCAGTAGCTTAAATAATGATAAATTTAAAAGGGCTAAATGAACTTGCTATTAGTTAAATCATAGTAAAACCATTAAAAATGTATGGTTAACATATTTTATGAAATAGAAAAAGTGTGATAGTGTACACATGCAGATTATTTTTGATTGTGTTGTAATCTCAATTATGTTGTATATATGTATATAAATTTAGGTATGTGCAATGTTTTCTGCATCTTTGAGTGGTTAAACTGATGCTTTTAAAAACATTTTATACATCAAATTTTTGTCAGGAAATATATATTACTGATCTTATTTTTTTTAGTAAGTGGTAGGGGTGATAAAATTAAGAGTAACATGAGTAAGAAGATTCTTGCCATGAGCTAGGTTTCCCAGGGAAGATCATTGATCTTTTTTATTTCCGAGGTTATTTATGCTGCCCTGAAAAGAGCAGAAGTAGTAAGGGCCCCTCCTGAAGCTCCTAAAGTGAGCATAGCATGTATCACAAGATTGTATCAACTTCTCTGAATAATACCATGAGTTTTGGTTTTTTTCTTTAGAGTTTTCTAGGTCTGCATTGGTGTTGCTGTGGACTTTTATGTTCTAATAAAAAATGAGAAGAGTAGGAAAATAAAATCAAGCTTTCTATATAACTGAAGAATAGGCAGGCATTTGAAATTTAAATTTAAGTAAAAATTTTGCTTTGTACATTTCCATATTATTTTTAAAAACTGAATTCAAAAAGATAGATCATTTTCTTACATTGCTGTAGTTTGAAAACTATGACTACCTCAGATATATTCTTGACAATACTGCATTTATGTTGAGGGAACTTTCAGTGAAATTATGACTGTAGGAGTGATTTAGAAGGCGTTTTAATTTCTGTTTGGAGGACTATGATTTATGGGTTGTGTCATTGTAGGTAATAAAGATTCTGTAAGAAAAAGAGTAAAGTCAAAAAACATTGAACAAAAATAGACCTTTCAAGATAACAGGACAATAGTTTAGCCAAAAGTGTATCAAAGTCCTTATAGAAATACACAGTTTGAGAAGATGGGAAGGTTCTGATCTAAAATGTTAACTTTTATAGGGCTTCATTAGGGATTGCAGTTGTTTCCAGTTTCTTCATTTATTTTCCTTTATGTCTCATTTTTAAACTGTCTTAAGAATCTTTACTGATAGGACAGATGGAACCTAGTATCTTCCTTTAAAATAATTGTTCCATTTATGACCCTCTACCTTAAATATCTAAGTAATCATGTTCAGCAGCCGACATGCCTAGGAGAAAGATTATCTTTGCAAGGATCCTCCATTTAGAATTTTGGCAAAACCAATTTTAAAATAACCCCTAAATATAGTTCACTGAATATAATAACACAAGAAAAACTATAGTAAACTTTAGGTTTTCCAGTTCTCATAGAATTAAAACATACGTATGATTTGAATAGGAAGCACGGGAAATATTTTTGTAGTTGAGGTTACAGAAGATTAAAAAGCATGGAGGGCAGTTGGTCTCATTACATATTTGCCAGGCTAAAGTGGTGTATTTAAAAGGGCCACACCGATTTCTTTGCAGTCATAAAGGCCCCCGGAAGAATCATTGGTTACTCATGGGATTTGTCATATTGCGTGAAGCCTGGAAATCCGGACCGGATCTGAATAGATACTGCCGTCTAGTAATGAAAGTGGTGGCAAATGGAAGAGATTGGGATCAGGGTCTATTCCTGGGATGAAAGTTTGTTTTAAGAGTTTTAGTTTTTGTGAATGCGTGTATGCATGTTTTTTTTTTTTTTTGCTAGAAAATGTCTTTAAAAATAGAAAAGTTAGATGAATTGAAAATTTCATGGAAAATTTATTAAAATCAGCCTCCCCAAAGCTGTCTGTAATACCGTATAGCATAAAAGGAGCAAATGTATTATCCTCTTCTGTTTTTCTCACCTCCATGAAGTTCTGGAGATGGATCCAGTGCTTGAGGAAGTATCTTGCTGAGACAGGACCAGCTGTTACACCAGGAAATTGAGAGTGGGAATTGAATGGGGGCTCTGTATGAATGTATGTTGCTGGAAACCAGGGCTTTGAGAGAACAGAAATGTAGGCAGACAAAAGTGACACAGATTTTCAAAGTAAGACACATGGAAATAACCAGACAGGAAAACTGGCACAAAGCCTACCTGAATGCTAGAATATGAAAATCACAAACTCTGCCCTGAACATACTTCCTACAGGTCAGGGTATTCAAGCTGATGCAAATCCCTAAGCACCTACTGAAATTAAATAATTTTAAATGGAATCCAAACAAGAGGGGTAAATATTTAAGGTCTTTTCTTCCACCTGCTCCTCAATGATTTATTTCCATGGGTCTGTCAGTGGCTCTCAAAACCCGCTGCACATTAATCGTTTCAGAATGGTTTTGGTAAATACCTGTGCTCGGCTCCATAGCATGGGAGATCAGATGGGAAGATTAAGGCCTAACTGGCCTCTTCTGTGAGCACGAGAGAGAAAGACAGGGCATGAGTGTGTGCTGTCATGCTGCAAGAAAAGTAATACAGCTAAGATTCTGTTGTTTATGCGGGTATGTACCATGGATGGTGGGAGACAGATGAATCCTGTTTTACTCTAATTGCTTGTGCCTGTGTCTTAGTGAAGAAAGCCAAGGTGCACCAGTCATTCTGGGCTATTTGTCAAAGGGAAAGAAAAGCCCCCCCCCCCCGCATTTTAACCTAATTCTGTGTATCCTCTCTGTTGCCTCTAAGTCAGGTACTAGCTCACAAGTTGGCCCCCCTACACCACACCAAACACCCACCAAATCAATTAGATGGAGTTGCTGGGTGTGAGCAGTAGGTGATGCCAGGATATTTCAGCAAATTTCCAGCTTTCACAAGTGTATGTGAATTATGAGATACTATAAAATTATCCAGTTAATCCTTAATTACAAGAATTTATATCACAAGTGTTCAGTATATCTAAATTCAGGGAAGATGAGGCAAAGAGGTTAGGAGCAATGCAAACCGTTTTTTATACTCTTAAGATTATTAGAATATAACTTGGCCCTAAAAGGAGACATGACCTTAGGTGGGACAGTTCTTGAGGTTTTGTGTGTGTGTGTGTGTGTGTGTGTGTGTGTGTGTGTGTTTTAATCCAAAGCTGAAGGTGGTCTGGAGAGTGGACAGCTCAGGAGTGTCTTCTGCAGCAATCACAGCAGCTGATCAGTGAATCCCTCACTTCTGAAAGGGGGATTCTATCATGTGGCTTCCAGGGGATCCTCTGTGGTCCATGTTTTGTGTTCTTCAGAATTTTGTCTTTGTATAAGGCCTGAGAGAGGCTCCCCCGGTCCCTGGTATTCTTCCCTTGGTGGTTGGGGGTGGTTTCCTCTTGTGGAAAAATAAAAAGCTGCCACCAAAATAAAAAATATTCTACCCTTAAATCTCATTACTTTAAGAGGTATCTTTTGGCTGCAAATGTGGCTCTGATTGAGTATAACTGAGCCACTGGGTTCAACCCACAATGCTGATTTTAAAAAAGAGTAAGAAGAAGAGGAAGAGGGAAGGAAAGGGGAAGGGTAGGGGGGAAAGGGGAGGAAGGGGGGGGAAGGTGTCTTTCTGCCAGGCATGGTGACACACCTGAAATCACAGCTACTGAGGAGGTAAGAGATTGCAAATTCCAGACCAATCTAGGTAACTTAGAAAGACTCTGCTTCGAAAAATAAAAAAGAGTAGGAATGGAGCTTAACGCAAATACCTTGGGCTCCATCCCCAGTACCACAAATAACTAGGAAAATAAGAAAATAAATGGTGCCTTTCTCTATTTAGAGTTTAATTAAAATTTCTTAGACTATTCAATATTTTCTCCGTTAAACAAAAGAGCATTTTGTTTCAAATATAATCTTTTTCTAAGTTACTTTCATTCAAGTATTTTTTATTAAAAATTAAGCCCTTTAGTTTTCTTTCTGGATTTTATACAGTAGTTATAATTGAAACAATATATAACTTTTTAAAAATGCAGGAACTATTCCCAGAATTGAGTTTTGCAAACTGTTAGAGTTTGAATATCTAAACCCACATCTCTGTTGCTCATGGCGGCACCCACGAAGCTTGCTTTCCTTGCACTAACGGTAGCCAGTTCTGAGCCATTCTGCCCAGTTGCCACCAGTTCCTGTAAGCTGCAGCAGTAGGTGAACCACATGTCATTTACAAGGTACAGTGTCATTAGCCTATCAAAAGAGAAAGCCAGTCAGTTGAAACTATTTCTTTTTCCTTTTTATTGGTACCAGGGATCAAACTCACGACTGCCTGCTTGCAAGGCAGGCACTTATGCCGCTGAGCTAAATCCCCAGCCCCAGTTGAAACTATTTTAAAACTTACTTTTTAGCGTTTCTATGCTTTTCTTCATGAATACCTTTCTTTTTTAGCGAATGCAGAGGGGGCTCACTCTCATACTTGTAATGGTTTTTTTTTTTTTTTTTAATAATTTTCATTGTTTTTCTACTTCATGATCAGTAAATGCTACTAAATAAATTAAATATTTATTCAAGCACGTATGTTACAATATACTGTAAGGATGCGAACTAAAAAACTGGATAAGAAAATGCTAAGGGACCAAGGTTTGAAATTACCATGACATTGTTATACTTTCTGATATATTTTTACTGGAGAATAGAAATTTAATTTGGTAGAATACCATTCTGTTTTTTTTTTTTTAATAACAATAAGTTTTTCAGCTGGAATAAGGAATATGGTCCCTTGGCCATACAAATTACAGTTTTTAAACAGAAAACTCATCTTTTTTGGTTTATTCCCCCCCAGTCACAATTCTATTT